ATAATAATAATAATAAAAACGTGGATCTTTGCTCTGAAAGAATAACTTGCAGCAGTCACTTGAAAGTTTGCCCCCCTTTTAGTCATGACCAAACAAGCAGCCCTTAACCTCATGCTGTTTTAATCTCTCATAGCGCAATCCTACACAGCGCGATTCCCCAAGGAGAGCATGCACCAAAGATGCACTACAACTCCCATAATCCCGTATCACTAGTTTTGTTGGGTGGGGCTGATGCGCGTCGCAACCCAACCGCATCGGGAGGGCCATATATGTACGTCCTAAACTGCTGTATGTACTCAGAAGGAAGTTCCTTGAATTCACAGCACTTTCTTCCCTGACAGCCTTATATAGGGCTGCAGGCAATGATTCACTGTCACTGAACCCCCACATTTAGGGTCGAGGCGTCCCCTTCCTCCCTGGGTAGCCTTGTAACTGATTGACACCCTCCAGGGCTGGGTTTCTCTCTCTCTCACGTCTCCATTTCACTCCTTCCCGCCCTCGGAGCCCCTTTTCCCCGCCACGAGAGCCAGGCGGCAGCGTGGCGTCTAAACCGGCGAGGGAGCGACCCGAGCTTACCATGTCGCCCTTCCTTCCCTCCGCGGCGGGACCCCACACCCCAAAAGGCGGGAATTATTTGAGAGGCAAAATCCGCGGGAAGCCGCCGCCGCCGCCGCTCCGCCTCCCGGCAGCTCAGCGCCATCTCGTGCCTCAGGGCGGAATTGCATGCTGGGGGTTCTTTTTTTTTCTTTTTCTTCCTCGGAGAGCAAGGAAACCCATAGAGATAGAAAAAGATGAGAGTGAACTTAGACGAATGGATTCCATTTCCGCTCAGTACAGTATAGTATTAAAAGCCGACATGGGGTAAACCCCGCCTTTTCTTCCCAGGCCAAGGGCTTTGCATCCTGGCTGCAGTAGAAACGCGCACGCTGTAAGGATGATGATAATTGTTCGTGACTTTTTTATTTCATTTATTTGTTTGTTTCTTTATTTGTTTATATTGTTGTGTTTTATTTGTAAGCCGCCCCGAGTAGACGCTGTCTAGAGGGGCGGGGTAGAAATCGAATAAATACATAAATAAATAAATAATAACTGTTCGTGACTTTCTTTTTATTTAATTTAATCTGTTTCTGTCCTGCCTTTGATGTTTATGTGCCATGAAGTCGACGCAGATTTATGGAAGTTCTAATAGGGCTTTCATGGTATGTTTAGATACCTAAAGAGTGGTATCATCATTTTATTTATTTACTTACTGTGCCATTAGTGCCGGAGCTCTATTCTGGGTGGGTTACAAAAGGAACAGATATCGAAATAGAAATAAAACATCCACCCTGTGAGTTACCGTGGTGGAGTGAAGATTTGAACTCAGGTCTGCAGAGCCCTAGTCTCAATCTATCCATTGCATCACATTGGTTCTGTGGTATAGTCCCACTTTAAGAGGCATTCCTGCAGTATTACAGTACCAGCAAACTGTGCAGGCTTCCTGTTTGAGGTGTGGGGATTAGTAGAAGATTAGCCGTGGATCGCCTCTTTGGTGGCCACCATAATCCTAGTACTATTTCGCTTTTGTCCTTACATTTCTTTCAAGTCAGATGTTGCTCTGTTCATTTCATATACAGTGGTGCCTCGCTTAACGATTTTAATTGGTGCCAAAAAACACATCACTATGGGAAAACATCGCTAAACGAAACGCGTTTTCCCATAGAGATGCATTGAAAACTGGATAATCCGTTCTAGTGGGAACGGATTGCGTCCTTAAGCGAAAATCGCCATAGGAAACATCACTAAGCGAAACGCGGTTCCCCAATTGAAATGCATTGAATCCTATTCAATGCATTTCAATGGGGGGGAAAATTACAACAAATTCAAAAAGAGTCAGAACAAAGTCAAATTAGTTTAACAAAGGGTTTATTAAGTGCACTTATGATTTCAAGCATTCTAAACCTTTTTAAAACATTTTTAAACATTTAAAAGACAGCCAACACAAGGCTGTCAAAACCATCGTTAAGGAAAACAGGGGGACCCAAACTGTCATTGCTATGTGGAGCAAGGTCCCAAACATCGCTATGAGAAAATCGGCCATAGGAAACATCGTTAAATGGCACGCTAGATTGCTCCGGAGGCCCATAGGAAACATTGTTAAATGGAGCGCTAAATCGCTCTGGAGAACTAATTGTTAAACGATTACATCGTTAAACGAAGCAATCGCTAAGCAAAGCACCACTGTAATGCTGAATGCATTCATATAATGACTGAAGAAGGTACTTGGATGAGTAGCAAAATGTTTCAACCGCATCAGAAAGAAATCCAGTTACCATGACTCAACTTCCAGATAACCTCACCTGGATGACTGAGAATCTTCACAGATATAGTCATATAATGCTGTTTGAGCTGTATCAAACTGTGAGTCAGCGATGAGCATGGTGAAAATCCTGGGAGTAGATGCGTACCAGTAACAGAATTCTTAGACAGTAATGCAGTAAGACAGTAAAGGAAAAGAGGAAGACCAAATATGTGATGGACTGACTCCCTAAAACCACAGGCTTGAGTTTATAAAAGCTGAGGACATGAGATTTCATTCATAGGGAGGCCATGAATTGGAGGCTGCTTGACAGTGCATCACAAAAACTTAACAGCTAAATATAAGCAACAATACTGCATGTAATCCCCTTCCTTCCTTGTTTTTGTTGATTTCTTTTTGCTTCCCCTTTGTATTGTAATTTTTGTATTTGTTAATTGTGTTTTTAATAATGCCTCCCACCCTCCTCCACTCCTGGCAGCAGTGGGAGCAATGTAAAAGCAGCTGCACAGTTTCATCAGGAACTGAAAACCTAGAAAAATAAAATAAAAAGGGCCGGAGGATGCTCTGTAGTCTTGTTGACATTTTCTGTGTGCGCCTCGTGGTGCAGTGGTTAAACCGCTGTACTGCAGCCCAAACTGTGCTCACGACCTGGGGTTCAATCCCAGGTAGCGGCTTAAGGTTGACTCAGCCTTCTATCCTTCTGAGGTCAGTAAAATGAGTACCCAGCTCGCTTGGGGGGGGTGCCAATGTGTAGCCTGCATAATTAACTTGTAAACTGCCCAGAGAGTGCTTGAAGCACTATGGGGCGGTATATAAGCAGCACGCTTTTGCTTTGCTTTGCTTGTTTATTATCAACATTTTGATGAATCATTTTTTATTTTATTCATAACTGTTTCCTTCTGTCTTTTACTCGTTCATCTCCGTTCCCAGCTCTCTCTCTCTTTATCTATATACCAAATAAACATATGGGCATGCAAACACTTTTAAACATTTTCCCAACCATTTAGAAGACAAAAAGAGTTTTAAAGACTTATTGTCTTATCTAATTTTTTCCTACTCAGTTTGTGTTTGTTTGTAAAATACAAGGTATCTATGACATGCATCCACTTTTAGATGGCATGTGTTGGTTAAATTTAAAAGAAAACAGAGCCTAGGCCCTTTTTAATAGTCAGGAAGAAATTGACAACTAGAATGGTAAGCATGCCCAGATATTCATGTTTCCACTTTTGCATGCTATCGAAGATGATACTGTAATAATAATCTTAAAACTGCAGAGCTCGAAGGGATCATCAAGTCCATCCCCTGTCAAAGAAGCACAATGGAAAATTGAACTCTCAACCTCTGGCTGTACAGCCAGATACCTAAACTGCTGTCCTCCCATTTCATTTGTCCACTGGAAATCAGAGCTACACGTGAGCTGAGGAAGCAAGCACATTGGAGTGCAGAACAGAACTTTTTCAAATTGGGCCCTAAACTGACACTGGGTAAAGGATGGTGGAAATGGCAGACCTTTCTAGGCCCCTATATCTGTACGATGAAAGGGTTTGCAAATAAACGTGATATGCGTTGTTACAAAATGACACCCTAAATAGTTCAAGTCTCAAAGACCCTGTCTCCCATTATCAGCCAGTTTGGGAGTTAAGATCATCAGGGGAGGCCCTTCTTTCAGCCCCACCACCTTCACAGATGTGTTTGGTGGGGACACAGGAGAGAGCCAGCTCTGTTGCTTCACCCAGACTTTGGAATTCCCTCCCATAGAAGGCCAGGTTGGCCCCATCTTTGCTGTCCTCATGCAAGCAGGCAAAGAACTTTTCCCTTAATGACTGGCTGCCTGAGTGGAGTTTTTAAAAGCACTGTTGTGCCTTATTGCTTTGAATCAATTTTTGGTGCTACTTGTATTTACCATTTTTAAATGTGGTAGCTGTTAATGACTGGCTGCCTGAGTGGAGTTTTTCAAAGCACTGTTGTGCCTTATTGCTTTGAACCATTTTTAAATGTGATGGCTATGTGATCCTTTTTAGTATTTATATACTTACTGACTTTCGCTTTAAATATTGTCTTTAAATGATGTAAGCAGCATTGGGTCCTTTTTAAGGAGAAAGGAGAAATGTAAACAANAGCAGCATTGGGTCCTTTTTAAGGAGAAATGTACACAAACAAACAAACAATCTGGTCAATAGAGTAGCATCTACTGTATCACTGCTTCCCATTTTACCACTTGGTGCACTTGGTGAGTTTTTTGTGTTGAGTGAAGGAACTGAAATGCCCATGGCTGCCTGGCCTTATTTGCCACAAGGGAGAGAAGGGCTTAGCCTTTGCTTGTGGGCCGAGCCTTCCTTTCTGTCTGTTTCATTTTGAGGCTTGCACTCACCCTCCATATCTTTCAGCACAGACTTTGCCAGTCGGCTGCTTGTTGGATTGGCCTGACATCAGATTGGTGGGGTCAGTTTTCCCATCCCCACTCTGATTCTCTATTGAATGAATGGAGGCTCTCAGGGACTGCAGAGTCTTGGAAAGGAGAATTTGGTAAAATTGGTCTGTGAGGGTGGCAGATTATTCTGGTCATAATTTTGAAGACAGATGAAAGGATTGGACAATTAGGGCAGCTTTCAGGTTAATTTAGGCCTATTTTATTGACAGTGTAAGTATGCACTGGGTAAGTCAGTGGGTTGGAGGGCACATGGAGCTTTGCCACCTAGGGCTATTAGGCTTGTGAACCTGACAGAGGTCATGGCTCTGTTCACCTCAGCTGCCCTAAGGCCCAGGAGGGGAGCTTCCTATGCTGAAACTGAGAGGAACGGGTAGTCAGCTTGCAGCCTTTCTTCCATGGCCCAGATCTGTTCTTCTGTTAAGTGGCCTGTGCTGTATGCTAGAGTACCTTTACTGACACCACTTTGCAGATCTGAGTTCATATTAATAAATGTGGCCCTAGTTTAATTTCAGTTGTTGGTGTCTTGTCTCTCTGTTTCACTCTCCACTGGACATAGCTGTGGCTGGAACCAGAGCAAGCCTTGCTAAGAACGTTCTTCGGGAAATGCAATACCTTCTGGTTCATGTTTATTTTAACAGAGATGTTTCTTCTATATTGGGGAACTGCCCAGTATACAGGTGTCTTCCTGTCAAAATAACTGCTGCAAAAGCTTATAAATTATGTTTATATTTTAGACCACACCCAGGAGTGGGATTAGCATGGATAATCTGGAATTTGCATGGCAGATGGAATTATAAATCTTGGGCAAAGTTCAGGACGCTACCAGGAGGGACTGGTAATTAAAACCTTCCTTTCCCCCATTTTAGGTTCTGAGGCTCCCTAGTGTTGTAAATGTAAACCTCAAAAAGGTTAGTGTTCAAAATCATTTCTTGTGAAATTAATCTTGTTACTACATAAAATCCTACTGTGTAGTTTTATTTGTGGTAAAATACAGTTTGGGTGCCTGTCCCATCATTTTAGGCTCCAAGACTCCCTGGGATTTTTGCCCAAGGAAAATCTTTGAGAGTCTTGGGTTTGGGGAACCTTTAAAATTAAAAAAAATGCTGCCAGATTGCTGGTGGTGGTCCTGGTTCCAGCAGTGATTGTTTTTTAACTTTTAAAGGCTTCCCTGCTCTGGTCCCAAGGCTCCCAAATATTCCCCAGGGCAAAAGGATCCCTAGGAAGTCTTGGGCCTAAAATGATAGGATAGGCACCCAAGGTGGATTGCGTCACACAAAGCTGCATAGCAGGATTTTACCTGGTAACATAAGATTAATGTCACAAAAATGACATTAAGAACCTTTTTGAGGTCTACGTTTACAACATTATGGACCTATAACAACAGAGTACAAGATGGGCTGATCAACTTGGGCTAATGCATATTTCTTCATGAAACCCATTGTAAGATCTGCTGAATTAATTATATTTACATCCTGCCTTTCCCGAAATGAGCTCAGTAAAATACACATAGCTCTTCTCCCTGCTTTCTCCTCAGTGACTTGTGAGACATTAGGCCGAGTGACTGACCCAAGGTCACTCACTGAGTTTCTTGACTGAATGAGTTCAGCCCAGCTCTCTAGAGTCCTCCTTCTTTTCTCTGATTGCTGAACCACACTGCCTGTTCACTAAAGATGTACTTCACTTAACATAGTTAAGTGGCATAACCTGCTTACACTTCCCCAATGGGAACAAACAACAAAAAATATTTTTCTGTTCCAAGAATGATTTTCCAGTTGTCAAATGAGACAGGTGTGGTAGCTGTAAATTTGGCCAGAAAGAGGAGAACCCTTCTCCCCACTAATGAGTTGTCTGAAAGAAGTATAACTGCAGCGTGATGTAGGATAAGAGACAGGGCACTGTGCTGCTGATATCCGTCTCCTCATATATGCTGCCTTTATAGTTATAAAGAAATTTAAAGTCTTCATTGCTTACGTTCTTGTAAAGGCATCTAAATCCAGTACTTCTCACAACATGACATGGGTGCATGTAATAGTATTTACTCTAAACCCCACATATAAAAGTCCCCAGGCAATGCGACAGGAGACTTTTTCAAACAGCTCATCATTCATTTTGCAAATGTCATACTGAGCATTTGGTCAGAGCTTGAAGTGAAGATCCCACTGTCTCCTTGTCAAAACAAAAGCCACTTTCCTTTTTTTTTTTTTTTTTTTGGCTATACAGTATGTTACAAATATGATTGGATTCTCTATATTCTTTCCAACCACTTCCCTATTAACAAGACAACTGAACAACAAAGGTTTATTTATTAGAACAAACTGAAAAGTGGAGCATCTTTGATTTCTGGGGGAAAAAAGAGGAAAACAACCTTTATTCATTTATTTTTATTTGCGGGCAGTTGTGCATGACAGAGAAAGTACAGATTTGGATTCTGGATTTTCCTATTCCAACACAAAGTAATTTTTTTAAGCTTTCTTTGTAGAATAAAGCATAAAAAATACCATGAAGCTAAACCTACGCACAAACGCTCTTCAAGGAACAACTTTCATTCTCAGCCTTAACTAGACAGAATTTATATTTCTTCTAAATAGGAGTGAATACATTACTGTGGTTGGAAAGGGAAAAAAAAGACTAAGATACTTCAGTGTAATTTTCAGAGAGTGCTGGACTTTATAGCATTCTTTAAACAGAAACATATGAAACTGGCTTAAAAAGCTGGAATGTACAAAACAAAGTATTTTGCTCAAAGGACCAAAACAGTACAATATATGAAACAATTAAAATTTCTAGCACAGGGATATTACAATACACGATGCACATTATGGAACATTCCAATGTCAAAGCAAAAAAGCAAACCATCAGGGTTACGGCTGTGTTGCTCACAAACATCCATTTAAGTGTTATACATTCATCAAAAACTACCACCATTTTGGAATCATTCTATACTACAGAACAAACAACTTTCATACATTCTCCAGAAAAGAGATATTTAAAATCATTGTTCACAATTCATCCATTTTCACCAGACATTATCACTTTACTCCTATCTCTCATCCAATAATTAAAAAGAAAAATCATTTCCTCACACAACAAGCATAACTTAATGGGCACTTGTTTTCATTATGGCAACACTAGATCCTTAGTTTCCAGCGAAATATCAGCTGTAAAGTTGAAAGCCCTGTAATGTTTTACAAAGGTCAACAACATTAGACAACATTTTCTTGTTACATTGATGAAACAATAAATCAGTGTAAAAATTCCATTAGTATTTAACATTTTTCTTTTTACAGTTAAAAAACCTCTTCAATATACAGTTTATGAGTTTATTCAAAAGTGAATTGACAGCATTCTTACTTTGTTTTGAATAAACACATGTGTTCTTGCACTGCTCCTAATGTGTCAACTACTGTTCCTTGGAATACCACTTGACACAAGACGACGTCTATACCACACACCTAAGCTAGAATTACCAATAATGTTTGGGCCAGCCTATGACTAGTAATCCAGTTTAATTTTGCAGTGCAGATGTAGTCTATGTTGTAACTGCTGAATTTGGCAGACTGGCAAGTTTGGGTCTGACCTGCATGTCCCCTTATATACTTGTTCAGCAGAACAAACAACATAATTGTGGTAAATGTTTGCTTGGATTAAAATTTAGTCTTTTATTTGAACAAAAACTTCATAATTCTGCAAATGTGTATGTCTTTTGATCAGTTTATCAGATCCAGGGCAAAAATGGCTTGCTTTTGGAGTGAGGATTTGGAAACTGGTAAGCAAGACAAGTTTTGTCTATTGCTAGCTGATTTCCAAATGCTCAGTGCTACAAAAATTTACAGTATTTTGCCCTCTGACAAGGTATCAGATGCTGCTGAACTTTCAACAGCATCTAACAAGAATCTGCAATTAAATGGGGGTCCAGACTAGCACCAGTTTTTAACAGTATGCATTACTGACACCTTTTACAAAGTCTCAACTCATCAAGGAAGAACCAGGATCTAAAAAGGTATTGAGGGGAAGGCCACATCACCCTTAAACATGTGTTAGCTTTGTTGTAAAGGAAATAAGCATTCATTCAAATCTGAGGCAAGGTAATACATACAGCATTACTAAGATTATTATATACTAGAAGAGTTAAGAAAATATTACATTTGAAGGAATGCATGGGCATGTCTACATGCATGAAATGATTTTCCTGTGTCAGTTTATAATACGTAATTTAGTTTCTGACGCTTCCCTTGTACAGTTTACCAGGACCTCCTTTTACACAAACTCTGTTAGAATGAGCCAGAGTCCAAAGGGCCCAGGTTTACACTAGAAGTAACAGACATTCCAGGGGACACTGCTCCTGTTCAGATTATTTGGCTCAGTACCTCCCCCACCCCGCTTTTAAATTCAAGTTAATATTTCATTTCGTCACAAGGATATCTTCATAAAAGCGTAAAACTTTTCAGCCAAACCGGCTTGACAGTGAGCATGGACTCACATCTATAGCAATAACATACCTAAGAATTTGAGTTCCTTTACATTAGAAGCTCAAAAACAATTACAAAACAGCTTAAGGTTTTTTGTGTGTTGTTTACATGGTTAATAAATACATATAAAAACATAAATAGGATATCCCTTTTCCCCACAGAATTTAAATAGTTTTCAAGATGACTCAGTGTCCAAGATGAACAGTGTCTAGTGTCTGTTGCCTTAATTTATTTATCCAGGAAAAATAAGATTCTTGGGATCATTCATCTTAAAGGGGTTATTTTGTAGCAGTATGTGAAGTTATTCTGTTATTCTTATAGTGAAAAAAATTAAAGCCTTAAACATTGGTAATTGATGCCTTAGTTTAATATGGCTCACCAGTCTCCTATACCTACTGTATTATGGGGCAGTCGGATAGCTGGCTTTGTTTTTATAAATCTTTTTACTGAACTCATTAAATGTTTTATGGAAGAGTTGGAGCTTTACCCACCCGAAAACTGTAGGCCAGCAGGGTGACAAAATGTCACCCTGACCGAAGAAAATTTAAGATTTCAGATATGGAAACCACAGCATCTTCTTGCATAAGGCCTGAGGCAGTATATGACCTCAAACTGCTTGCTACCAAATTTCTTTTCACTTAATATAAAAGACAGTCAGAACCTATTATTCGTAACTTTACTGAAAATAGCTTAAAGCAAACAGGGAACACTGATAGGAATGTGATAATTTTGAATTACTGTACTAGACTTGTACATGGGGAGTTTGAAAATGGGGGAAAGAGGAAGAGTACAGACCAAATGGCAGCAAGAGTATTATTGGGTGCTCAATATGTTTTTGTTCCTCATTCTTGATATTAATTCAATATACACATATGATAGGAAAAATTATAAATGGGTTTTGAGGCCTTTATTTTGGCCTTTCACAGCCATAATGATATTTAAAGACTTGTTCTGCAGTGTATGCATTTTGTTACACACAGTACTTTTTGGAATTAAGAAATTATTTTTGTTAATTAATTTATTGATTAAGAATTAAGAAAGGCCTGCTTTGGTAAGCCTTGGTTTTAGCCTCCCTGACACACACCTGTGAACCACTAAATTTCCTTTGGCTGTATAAAGTGGATCCTTCAATGGAATACATATGTGGCCCGCCATCTTGTTTGAAAATACATAGCTTAACAAAACAGATTGTTTTTATAACTATAGCAAGGGTATGTAGGAAATCATAGAATCTGCTAAGCTGACATAGCAATGAATTAGTCTGATGTTAACTTGATTCTGTAAAGTGTCAACAATTCCCTATAAGAGTATACTTGTAGAGCTTTAGAAGTTTCTAGGTTCTGGAAAATCCTTAAAGTACACTGAGTAAGAGGAGAGTTGATAAATATGTACATTAAATCCCACACAGGACTGGAATTTTGCATTGCTTCTCATAATGCTAAAAATGTGAGGTGTGTTAGATCTAACAGCTAGTACAGGAAGAATTAATCATACGTCTTTATTACTAAAATAAACTACTTATTAGTTATTAAGACTGAAGAATGTTACAAGTGTAGTACCTACTATAACAATGTGATCTACAAGCTTCCCAGACTTCCTGCTGGGTTAAATAATGCTTAACAAGAACAACTTTCAAATTTGGATGCTTTGAACAAGCACTTTTTTTCACATCTTGAACAGGCCTCTTTAAATAAAATTCTTCCCCTCTTTTACAAAAAAAAAATCAGTTAATTACATAATTGACTGAATTACAAGCCACAGTTCACATGTCTAGTATTCCACTGTTTTTGTAAATTCTGGGGGGGCAGGGAGAGAAAAGGGATCTTTATTTTAGGACAAGTTCAGTGCAGAATAAATGAGGTGCAATCCTATGTAAACAAGGTAGGTTTAAAAAGAAAGAAAAAACCAGAGACTCTTTCAGTATTAAAATTGAAGTATTTACGAAGAAGACATCCTACACAAAAAGATCTACATTGGCCCCCAGAGGCTAGAAACCGTTTGAGTGCCATCCAGTTACAGTTGCTACTGTAAGTATCGATAAACTTTGAAGCAGTGATTACCAGAGTCTGCAACTACAACATGGCCGTCTGACGTAAGAGCCAACCCTTGGGGACCATAAAGAGGATCAGCAGATGTATTTATATAGGATAAAAAGGATCCACTTCCATCAAAAACCTGGGAATAGAGGAAAATGAAACTACATCAGGCAAAGAAAGCAAACCATATTTATATTTAGCACCTGGTGCACAATGTCCATAATCACAAGATTTTCTTACATACTTATAAAGATATATAAATCGTTTAAATCTTAAGCTTTCAAGGGCATATAACAACAACATATACACAATATACAAATACAATATTTATGTTGCCTGAGCCAGCCTAGGCCTTCCTGTTTCCTAAAGACAACACAGAATACAAGAAGGCTTGCCTAAATAGGTGCATTTTTAACGTGTCTAAGAAATTGTTGGAACACGTTGAAAACCAGAGGCGAAGGTATTCCACACATTGGGTGTGGCAGTGATAAAAGTCTTGCTCCACATAGCTGCATGGTGGACTTCATGAATGGGAGGCACTACCCAAAAGGGGTTCTACAGATGCCTTCAAGAACTGAATAGATCTATAAGGAATAAGTTGGTCTTTCAGATAACTCTGCCTCAAGTTGCATGAGGGTTTTATAAAATCTTACATATGACCACCTAATAAATAGGCATACAGAATAATTCCTTCAGCAGACTTATGATGTGCAGCCGGTAAGCTGTGCCTCGTGGAAGATGGGCTTAAGTACTCTCTACCAGAATTCCCGGTACACCTCTTGCTCTTCAGATATGATGGGAGAATCTGTCTGGACTGGGATACGTTGCTTGAGGAAAGAAAAAGCTTCAGTGGGCTGCATGGGGACACTCTGTAGGCAAAATTAGGCCCTGTTGTCCAAAGGTTCCCCTTCCCATCACATTTAGTTTTTTTCCCACCAGGATAGGAGAGGAAATACTTTTGCTTCCTGAGGAAGTGGAATTTGATCCCCATTGAAACTCACACTGAAATAACATTCTCAATCTTTAAAATGGTACCGTATAATACTTGGCATGCCTCCCCTTCTTTTTTTCTTCCCATTATCTATGTATGTGTTTCCACAAGAGCAGAAAAGGTGCAGTACTCACCTGGGTGTAAGCCCCACTATCATCAATGGGATTAATTTTGTATAGACATACTTAAGATTCTGCTTTAGAGAATGTTTTGGAATTAGAGACGGCAAACTGAACTTTAGCCCTGAAGATAAAATGCAAGCAGAGCTGACTCTAGTATTAGACTCTGTGAGGCAGGTGCCTCAAGCAGCAGATTTTGGGTAACACGGAAGGGCAGCAAATCGTTGTTCTTTATTGTATTTTTACTGCCAGGAATGACAAGGGGCACTTTTGAGATCTGCTGCGTCAGGAGCCAAAGTCACTTGAGTAACCTTCAGAATTAAATCCCTCAGCTTTAAAAGAAGGGGTATAGACACTTCGAACAGGAAAAATTAAGTTTTATCTACCTGGATCCGACTGTTTCCCCAGTCTGCTACAATAATATTTCCATTAGAATCTACAGCTACTCCTGTTGGAGCATTGAACTGCCCATTTCCTTCTCCGTTCGATCCAAACTTCAACATGAATTCACCTTCCTGGTTAAATACCTGTGTAAAAGATACATCAATTATCATATTACAGTCTATCCAGGATACCTCAGAGGCCTAGGGGCCAATTTTCTACTTTGAGGACCCACTGATGCCCCCACATCAGCCAAAACTATGAAGGAAAAAAGGCAAAACCAAGTGTTGCTGGAAGATCATGTTCCTTCCCTTAAAAGTGGCCTGTGGGGCCTGCACCCCATTTTATTGTAAAACGAAAATGTTTTATTAATAAGGCATATCCAGGGCCATAAAAACAGCCTGGGGGTGAAGGTTGCAGGTAGGTCTAGGGGTGCATTTAACTCATCTCTATATCATATGGCACCTGGTGATTTAAGTAAAACGCCCCCGCCCCTCAAAAATATAATTATTATTTTCAGCCATGTAAATCAAATCTTGGGAAAAAAGAAACATTTACTTTCTCAGGCAGTAACAGAAAAACTCACAGACAAATAGACAGGTAAGGCGAGATGCACCAACAATAATACTGCCTGGGAAAATTCTGTGCAAGAATGAACTAGCATAATATTTTTCAAGAAATCCTAAAGTGATACACCATGCCCTGGGGCTGCTAACATAAAGGGAACAAGAGAACACTTCTAGTGTTTCCTATATTACTCATCATTAGAAAATGAAATCCATTAGAGTTTCAGAGATGTGGCTCGGACAGAATTTCCTGTCTGAGCAATCATACTTGCAATCAAATGTTGTGCTTCCCTCCCATAACCAAACAAAAACAACAACAACAAGAAAGGTCAATTTCCAAGCTAAAGGTAATATGAAAGGTTCCTACTGTGACACTCAGACATTTTCAGCAGTAAAAGTATGTCTTTTCCTATTGCCAAGGTATCTATAACAGTTGAGCCCTATGAGATCTTCACTTTTCTCCTTCTACATAGCTAGCAACAAAGATGCTTGTCTGCTGGATAGGCATGGTTCAAACTACATTACAGGATTCTTCAAAACCTACCTATCTTTTTTTTTTATGCAGGAAGATCAGTGCTAGTGGACCAAACTTGCCTTAAAAATAGTGTTCTCACTATTACTGATTATCTCCTACATCACACAGCTGCAGATGATGTTGGATATATTCTAACTGCATGCCATGGCCCTGCTCATCTGGCCAATACGTAAGCTGAATAAGCTTCCCATCATCCTCTCCTCCAATTGGGGAGCCACAGCATCCGTTTGGGATGGCTGGGGTTTGCCTGCAATTGAGATGGGCTATTGCCATGCTTGCCGTAATGAACAAGCCATCACTGCTTCCATATGAGAACGCCCTGTCCCTGAACCTCTCCTCATGGCTATCAGCAGCTCTTCCATGGAAAAGGGGCTCAGTATAGGAAAATAAAGAACATTTTAAATTAAACTGGTTTTGTTTAGTTTTTTAAAAGCATAAAACATGAAAGTTTGGCTTCATGACAAGTTTGCAATATAATTCATGTGTTTCACTAACATATTTTAAAAACTGCACCTTTTTGGCAATGATTTTCCTACCCCATATTTTGGATAGGATAGGCTGTATATGATAGATTGTCATATGTTATTGAAATGTGGCGACATTTCTGTTAGATTTGGTTCACGCTTTAAGGCGTTTTGATTTATGTTACAAATCAGTGCAGAAAAAGTTCCTGGCACTACGTAAGGTATTCAAAAAACTGGCATACAGAAGAGCACATATAATAAGCAAACGACACAGCAATGATTCGATTCCAATACTGTCCAGGAGACAAGAAGAGGAAGGGCAGTATTAGCTGAAATCCAGTCAAGTTTAACATGCTTTGATATCCGTGTGTTTAGCTATGCTTTGGGAGCCAAGAATCTTAATTCAGAAAGATATTAACTATCCCTCCATTTTATTAGTGGGACAGCAATAAATTCTTCCCAGTTTTTGACCATATTTTGAACATCATTATTTTCTTGTTTGCTGGAGTCTTGCCACAGATGTAACAATCCCTGTAATTATTAGGAAATCCTGCATTGCTAAACAATTCCTGCTTCCAAGGCTGTAGGTTTATCAAAACTGCAGCCCCCCTGCTGCTAAACTATGCCAACGATCTGCTTTACAGTCTCTCCTATGGTCTGACTTTTTTCCTTTTAATCCAAGCCATAGGAGCGATTATTTCCTGCCTAGCTTCAGAAGTCTGGGCTGCGGGGGAGGGTGGGTGTTGGAAAGAATCATCTTCATTTGGAACTGGCCATTTAGCTCCAAGAAAGAGTTACACTGCTCACTTGTAATGCAGCTTAATGGTGACAAGCAAACCATCTGGTATAGCCTGTGCCAGATGCTCTCAGCCTTGATTTGCCTTTGATGTGAATCAAATAGAAATTACTTAAAAAGGTCTCCACATGACTTCTGTACTCCATGGTATTATTTATTTATTTATTTATTTATTTATTTATTTATTTATTTATTTATTTATTTATTTATTTATTTATTTATTTATTTACAAGATTTTTAGGCATGCCATTACCAATGCTCTCTGTTAATCATCTAATACAGTGGCCCCCAACCTTTTCACAACCATTGGGGGGGGCTCAGTTTGTGGGGAGGGCACTCCCTGCGCTTGCGGGTGGGTGGGGCCCACATGGGTGGTGGGGGCGTACTCACGGGGGGTGGAGCGTGCATGCTCAGGGTAGATGGGGCACACTCATGTGTGGGGAGCTGTAGATCTGTCTCCATGGCCTGGTCCTGCCAGGGCAACGGCCCTCTAAAGGCTGTGGACCAGGGGTTGGAGACCCCTGACCTAATTCAAAAATACACTCTTGAGCTCTGAAAAGTAACTAATTCAGACTACAACTCCCCAAATCCTCTGACAAATGGCCATGCAGCCTATAGAATGGGTGTTATGGTCTAAAAGGCGATTTTTCTCTGTAATCTCTGAGTGCAACAAACATGAGTAATTGACAGTTTATGATTCTGATCATTCTTATAGTACATAACCTGAATTTTGAAACAGACACACCAAAAAAGTAGATATATCTCCATGTACTGCTCCCATATCTACTAACTTAGTACATTTAAAATCACTCTGTTCCTTCTGCTGTTCAGACTAACAATACTTTAAGTTTCCATATTTGTGAATGGCTGTGTGGTAAGGAAACTTATTTTATGTTCTAAAGGAGGTTTTAAATATTGTTTGATATATATGAAAGAAAACACTCACATATATATTGTAATTTACTGCAAGTGAGTCTAAGTGGAAACTTAGGATAAAACTCTGCATTATATTCAGAGAGCCAGTGTGAAGTAGTGGATAGTATAGTGCAGTAGTCCCCAACCTTTTTCGGTCCCCACACACTTGCGCGCGTGCACGAACAAGTGCACCCGCTCTCTTGCATGAGCATGCCCATGCAAATGGCGGCACTCGCACAGGTGTTCTGGAGCATGCGCGCAGCCACAAATGGGCTGTGCGGGGGTGAGTGCGTGCAGGGGGGAGGAGGTCGAGCTGTGCGGGGGTGAGTGCATGCAGGGGGGAGGAGGTCGGTCTCGGCGGTCTGGTCTGGCCCAGGCCATGGACCGGCAGCAGGCTGCGGACCAGGGGTTTGGTACTTCTGGGTGAACTAGAACTCAAGAGACCTGGGTTCAAATCCCCTTCTGGGCCATGGAGACTCATTGAGAGGGGGTGGCAATGGTAAAACCACTCCATAAATACTGTATCTTACATACAATGAAACCTTGTTAATCCTTCCTTCCCTGAAAATCTGTTTTCCTGTGCAGTAGTTAGGAAGAGTAAAAGAATCTTCCGCTGGTGCCAGCAGTAACAAACATGGTTGTTAAATGCCACACAAGGGGTAACTGGGGCAGGACTAGGCAGACACTGAATAATTGCTTTAACTACAAACCACCCAGTATAAATAAAACGTCTAGAGTTAAGAAAGATGTTTTGTTAAAATTAATATAATTGAATTATAAATTGTTGATTTGCATCTCGCATGGTTGTTGACATTTCATTACTAGCCTCTTATCCACCAGGCTGAAATTTCAAAATCAGACCAACCCATTCATCCTCTTCTTTTTCATTATACAAGAATGCTGCAGTTATCTCCTAATTTATGAAAGTTCCACTTAGGAAAATCCAGTTACATCACTGTAGTTCTATAATTTTAATTGTGCACTGTAAGCCACAACTTTTCCGGGTTTTCTAGGTAGAGAGTACTCAGGAGTGGTTTACCATTCCTTTCTTCTGGGAGTGCCCTGGGACTGTGCAACTTGCACAAGGCCACACAGGCTGGAAGGGACGTGGGGGCGCTGCGGGCTAAACCGCAGAAGCCTGTGCGGCAGGGTCAGAAGACCAAGCAGTTGTAAGATCGAATCCACGTGACGGAGTGAGCTCCCGTTGCTTGGTCCCAGCTCCCGCCAACCTAGCGGTTCGAAAGCATGCAAATGCAAGTAGATAAATAGGGTCCACCTCGGTGGGAAGGTAACAGCGTTCCGTGTCTAAGTCGCACTGGCCATGTGACCACGGAAGATTGTCTTCGGACAAAACGCTGGCTCTATGGCTTGGAAACGGGGATGAGCACCGCCCCCTAGCGTCGAACACGACTGGACAAAAATTGTCAAGGGGAACCTTTACCTTTACCCAGGCTGGATGCACAGCAGGGAACTGAACTCTCAACCTCTGGCGCTGTGCTTGATACCTAATTCACTGAGCTATCCAGCCAGATGGCTCTCCTATACATAATCCCAAATATGAAAATAGGCAAAGGGAATTTGTATTCCCTAACAAAACCATAACTGTCTGCTAACTACTTCTGATGTGATGGCCTAGTGATATGAAACGTATCTCACAGAGGGCCACTTACTGGCTGAAAACCTGTTTGCATAGCTATGCCATGTAAGGCTGATGCATCAGCTGCCATCAATTTTTCAGAAATAAAAAAATGTTCCTCCAAAGGTTCCAAGGTAAAGTAATTCTGCAAATTTCGCAAATTAAAGATTCCCCCTCTCATCATATGGCCCCCAATGGCTCAACAAGAGGATTCAGTGAGAGCCTTGATACCTATGGGATGGATTGAAAATTTTTCGCTTCTGAAAAATCATTGCAGCTGATGATGCCATCTGCCTTACATGGTGCAACTTACAGAAGAGGATTTTAGCCACAAAATTCTTACATATGGCATTTGAAGAAATAATATATGAACCTTTTAGGAAGAAGCCAGGACTAATAGGCAGACGACATGATTTCCCTGTAAAATGTCACAGCTGCAATCTTTTCTATCTCAATGAAAGGCTGGAAAACATTATTGTCCAAAATCTTGAGTGGCTGTTGCCAGTCAGACTAATGATAATGACTTAGTGTACTTTTCCATGTAACCAGTGGTGCACAACTGGCCACAATGCCAACTGCCTGTGTCTCTTATGCATCTGCAATATGAGAAATCTGAATTGACTAAACTTTTTCAAATGTCCCATGACAGCTAGCATGTCAAAATTACAATGTGAAATGATTCTAGAGAATGCTTTACGGAGAACAACATGGCATTTCTTGAATTATTCTGAAGATCTTTTTAAAGAATCATCAAACTGAGAGAACAATTCAGTCATTACTCTGGTTCTAAAAATTAACCAGGTAGCTCTTGATGGTGGCTAACACTTGAGGGTCATGTTATTAATTTTCTTACCGGAATCAGTGAATTTAATTATTACAAAAATGTCTGCTCATTAACATGATTTTATTTTCCTTGAGAAACCCCATCATACCTTGACAGAATGATTGTGGAAATCAGTAATAATTATTTCATTATTGTGGTTGACAGCTGCAAAATGAGGGCCTGAAATAAAACAGAAATAAAGAAATAAAGCACAGTCCAGGGAGGGAGAACAATTAAACCATTACAACCATCTGATGAAATGTAAAAATTTGGTGCTAAATTTATGCTATCGGATTCAACACTGGCATAAATATCCAGTTGGATTCTGCCTTACTTTAAATAGCTATTGGAAGGAGGATATTAGTAAGGCCCAGTCTCTAATTTTTTACACTTTCAAAAAACAAACAAACCCACCACCAAACAAACCCTTGTCACTTTTCACAACCTGGTATCCATTATAATTCATCACAGGAGAAACAAGAAAGCCAAAAGGAACTTGGGTGTGGAGATGCACAAACTAATCAGCCAATGGCCACAGCTGGCAAAATTTCTTTTACAATATGGGTAAAGAGAGAAGGGGAAAAAAGTAATTTATATGAGCCAGACTCATATTCTATAAACAGTATTATGCTACTCTCCCCCAAACTCTCAGAATTTCTCTCAGAACATTCTAATCATGAGGGCATTTTCTCAATTCTTACTCTCCAAACTGATTGGGAAGATCACAATGGCTGGAAATATATGCCCGGTTCTAGCCAGCATGTACTGGAGTTGAGTCTTTGCATGTAACATATAGTTTTTTAAGAATGTAAACAGTATTATTTGCGGGCCAATAATTCAAAGGATTAGAATAGGCATGGAAGTGAAATGTAATCCTTTCCTCTCTGCTGTGGTCATGAGAGACGTTGTTGTCATCTGAGGCCAGTATCTGCTGTGTTCCCCCCCTTTTTTTCCTATCATTTACTACATGATAATTTAAGAACATCAGCAAAAATATGAAGTTGGACAAGTGTAATATATGCTAGAGAACAACACATTAAGTTGCTACCTGCCAGTATTTAAAACAATTTGATTAGCTGTTCTCCACAAAGATTTCAATTTTACCACAATGTCACTGTTAAGCAACAGACTGTTTAAACCCTATTTAATATATGCAAAAGAATGGGAATTCTTTCCTCCTTTCTTGGGATTCCGAACTCCTATAATTAAAGGATTTATCATGCTGTTAATAACTTTTTAAGAAATGAAACCACAGAAGTCAGGAGGCATATCCCTGTGGTTCTTCCTGAAATACACACACACCTCAAAGCCTTGAAGAAAAATCTGAATGGGAATTAAATCTACTTTCTATTTAAACTTCTTCTATTGCAAAATCATTGGTATTTAGCTGTGAGGACTGCAGCTTTGCACCTTATAGTATTTTGTGAGGCAAATCTAACTTGTTTGAGGGATCATGGGCTAGATCTAGTGTACATGATAGAAGATGACCATAATGGTGGGAGATTACAAAATCGATCATGTTCTGTGTTTTATTGTAGTCACATCAAAATTTATTGATGTGACTACAATATTAATAAAAATGGCTGTAGGGCCATTTCCCTGCCCTGAATGGGGTTACACTCCCCCTAAGGGACAGGGTTCACAGCCTGGGGGTGCTTCTGGACCCCAGTCTAACTCTGGGGTCTAATTCTGGACTCGGTGGCCAGGGGCACCTTCCTTCAGCTGCAGAAATTATACCAGCTACGGCCCTAACTGGACGAGCAGAGTTTCTTAACAGTTAAACACGCACTGGTAACATCTCACATAGATTACTGCAATGAGCTCTACGTGGGGCTGCCTTTGAAGGCAGTCCGGCAACTGCAACTGGTCCAGAATCGAGCTGCGTGGCTGGTAAGTGGTGGGGCCGCTAGGGGACATATCAAGCCGATTCTGATTAAATTACATTGGCTACCAGTTGCTGCCTAGGCCCAATTCAAAGTGCTTATTTTGACATATGAAGCCCTAAATGGCTTTTGCCCTGGAAGGACCGCCTCCTTCCATATGAACCTATGCAGCAGTTTAGATCTAGCCAGGGGGCCCTTTTGCAAGAGCCGTCCCTCAAGGAGGTAAGAGGGATGGCTTGTAGACAAAGGGCCTTTTCGGCAGCTCCCCCAGACTATGGAACGCCCTCCCAACTGAAATTCGCCTGGCACCGACACTGATGACATTTCAGCGCCAGGTCAAAACCTTCTTGTTCCAGAAGGCTTTTAATTGAAATAATATCAACTGTGGGTCCTGATGGCAATTTTTAGAGTATATATTTTTAATTGTTTTATCTTTTTAATTGTATTTTAATTGTTGCAAGCTGCCCAGAAACCTTTGGGTAGTGTGGGCTGCATATAAGTTATATAAATAAAATAAATTATGATAAAATAAATAAGGATATGAAGGAGGCAGTCTTCTGACAGACACAACCTCTGCCCATTTTGATAACTGTATTCTGAAGGGCTGCCAAAGAACCCCCACAACTGAGTCTTGAGTGGTGTAAGGGATTGTGGGGAACAGGGACAGGAGGAGAAAGTTCTTCTTTGCAGCAAATGTGCAGCAGGGAAAGAAATCATCTTCTCTTGGCTCTGCTGACAGGTTCCTTTCTGCCAATATATGTGCCTAATTGCATCCTGGTCACTGTTTGTAAATTTTATACATGGTCAGAACCCTATTTGTTACATTCTTGGGCACAATGAATAGGATTCTGACCACTTCTAAAATTTATGAATTGTGTGTAGACATAATTTATTGCACATTGAGCTGTGCAACTCAACCCACAACAGATGATGTCTACACAGAGATGGTGCCCCAACAAAGAAGTCCTATTTTCTGCCGCCCTCAGGAACACAGTTGGCCAGAGCATGGAACACCTAGAACTGCCTTTCTAGCCAATCAACCTGACTGCCTAGCCAGGACTATATCCAGAGTGGGAAAGATCTAGATTTCCTGTACCGTTGTTTCAAAGGGGGTGGGGGGAACAGCTTGGTAATTCTGAGCTAAAAGGGGATCTGCATGTGACCCTATGTCACATACACAATAACACTTGCAAAATTATAATAGATTTCTGCTAACCTGCCATTTTGATTACATTTTTTGTGCAATTCTGTGCCTGATTTTGCAAAGCAATTATGTTATGCTGTCTGTAGACTTTTTTCTCATATGCAAAAAGAATCCAGCTCACATTTAAAAATGTAATGAGCACTGATTGTTATCACCACTGTCTTTGAGGATAGAATGAAATCTAGGACATTCATGGGCAGTTACCTGAAGCACTTTCAGGCAAAGGCTGGTATATAACCAAAGACTGTACAAGTTCTGGCACAGAACAGAGGCTCTCATTTCTGCAACTGATTAAATATTAACTGTAACATGAGCATCAAGAATGTGTTTAATATAAAATACAAAACTACTCCCCCAAAAGAGACCCAAACCGTTTAATCTTGCCCTAGATTGCATTCTGAAAGATTAATTCATGAAAAGTAATACTCACTCAGCATGTAACAATCAAAAGATATTAAGGTAATGCTTACTTCTTAGTTGTATGTTACTCAAAACCTTCAGTACTTTTCACAACCATATGTCTTCCATTTTAGGGGAACACATAAGGAGGCTCCAACAATTCAGCTCACCACAGTGACTGTGACACTGCGCTGGTGAATGGGATGCACACATAGCCTTCCTTGCAACTTCAGAGCTGCCCAAGATGGGAAGGGGTTGTCCTGGCAGTTGTGCAGCTGTTTAGTCACTGTCTAGCTCCAGCTGCAAGGAAGGCTGGGCCATCTTTGGCAGATAGACGGCCAAGGCATCTGCAAAACCTTGGTAATGCAAGGCCAAACCAGCTGACTCATCCTGCTGACCTTTCCTGATCCAGGGCAAGTTTGGTCACAGGACCAAGCAAATACTGCGGGCCCCAGCACATTGTTAGGATATTGCTTCTCAAAGAATGCTGAAATGTCAATTAGACGCATGGAGGAAATGAAAAAGAGATGCATCTTAACTAGCATGTGATACCTGCAAACTGTTTATCTCCATTGCCGCGACTTCCAAACCTAGTTACTATTTTCCCATTAGGCTGGAAGATAAACACACAACATGCTTTGTTGTCCACTACAATGATGTGTCCGTTGCGATCCACAGAAACACCTTTTGGTCCCATAAGTTTTCCAGATCCAATTTTTGTCTACAGGAACAAACAGACAGGTTAATTTTCTCTTTAGCATGTATGCATCTAGACACAGTAATAAATGTTTTAATTGTATTAGGTGTTCTATGTGAAGCGATACCTAGAAATTTCAGCTTGTCCACAACATGGCAGCCCAATTACGGACTTCAGCTGCTTACTGGGAGCATACAATGCCCCCTGTTAAACATGTGTGTTGGCTTTCAATTGGTTGCCAGTTCTGGTAAGCTAATTAAAGTCCTTACAAATTTGGGAGCAGGATATCCAAAGGTCCACTCTCTCCCACATGAACCTACCCTCTTGTTTAGGGTTATCAGTACTGGCTTTCTTACACTTTCCAGCAGAGAAAGAAATTGTCAGGGGATAAAACAGCTCACCCTTTCAAATTAATCCTTTTGTAAATGACAGAACTGGGCTACTGTTTAATTGATGATATTGTAATGTAAGAAAACCTTGAACCTTGCATTTGTACTTTAAACTTACCTTAAATTTTCCATCAGAGGAGAATATGCTAACCCATTTATTATCGTAGTCAGCAATAATGATGTCACCACATGGATGCACAGCTACTCCTGTAGGCCGCTGCAACTGACCAGGAGATCGTCCACGGATACCAAAGCGACTCTTGAACTGACCATCAGTGGAAAATATCTATTTTTTAAAAAAAATTAAAAGTTGCTTTATAAAGTATGTTTCAATTAAGTACAGTTACAACTTAAGATAGGGCATATAAAAAGTTCTGAGAAGGTCTCCATGCTGAAGGGCTTCCTCCTGTCACCTGCGATCAAGAAGATATTCTACCCACAGCAGGGAGAATCTTTATGTAGATATACAATGTTTTGCTTCATAGAATAAAATAGGAAGCTTCTGCATTTGCATAGCTTTGAATTGTGCATCACAATTTTCCTGCAATTCCCTCTGCTCAATTTCTGAATTGCCTATATAAGCCAAAATGAAAACATTCAAGTGGGGAGCTTTGGACTGTTTTGGGATTAAATTCTAAAATTTGCAGAAATAATCCTGCGAAAATACCAGGAGAAGAGCCTGATCAAAATAGAATGTTCAGTGGCTCCACTCACTTTTTGGTTATAATATTGGCACCTCATTTTTTTTCATATTTGGCTGGCAGTAGTTTATATCACATATTTATTTATTTATTTATTTATTTATTTTATTTCTATCCCGCCTATCTGATCATATTAGACCACTCTAGGCGGCTTACAGTAAAACAACAATGTAATTTTAAAACTTTACAGCAGAAACGTAAATTTAAAAAAAATAAAGAACAGAATAAGAAAAAAGATCGTCAAGGGTTTTCTGTTGGGAAGGCCCGCCTATACATCAATGTTTTTAGTTGTTTCTTAAAATTGGCACCTCATTTTTTTTTCTCTCCAAAGAGCTGATGGCAGCATACATGACTCCTAGTTTGCCCATTGTTTTCTCCCGACAGCAACCCTGTGACGCAAGTACGTCTTGACAGACATTCACTGTTACACCATGACTTCCATGACTCAGAAGGCATATGGTGAAGAACACAGGCGCAACAAGCAATTCTGTATCATTGTCAGATTCATACATGCCTCAAAACAGAGCCTTGTGAGCTGCTTAGGGAAGTGAATAAAATTCACTCCCCACTTTCACCTTAAAAGAAGTTTTCATGCACCAAAACCCAGGCAGGACAGGATTTTTTAAAAAAAAAACACCATATTTTAAAGTGCTTTGTCCAGGCCTTCAAATGTCTACATCTGCACGCACATTTTTTTTACAGGATCAAACAAAGTTTCGTCAGAAGAAACAAAAGGGGGTGAGATCTAGGAAACTCCATATACTGTACTGTACTGTGGGTTGGTGCTCTTTGTCAAAGCAGGCATGTGTATCTTATTCTATGCTGATTCTAAACACCCAGTCTTTGGCAAAGCTTGGATAGGGAAGCACAGACTATTTGTTGCAGCTGAAAAGGCCTATACAGCGGAACACAGTGCACAACACTTTGTGCCCAAAGAAAAGAGAGAAGCATCTTTCTGTTCTAGTGAGTTTGGGAAACAAAATTATTAGGGTAAGATGAATAAGAAAATTCATTTGGTCAGAAAAGCTGGGAACTGACCTGCAAGTCTCAAGAAGAAACAGACCATATAAATATATACTAGACCATACAATTAAATCATTATTAGAAGCAGAACTCTCTTAAGCCTGCCTGTTTATTCTGACAAGAGCTTGTGTGCGTGTTCCCGCAGCCCTTGAAAATGTGGAAAATATGTGATGTGGTCCTCACGGTGAAAAGTTTGGAGATCCCCGCTTTAAGAAAACATGCATTTGCTTAACATATTATTGTACACTCAGGATCAGCACAACTTGAGATTATATCCCTCAAAACACTTAAAAGTGCTTTTCACTTTAATTTATTTAGACCAAAGTTGGGACACAGATGTAAATAGATAAAAAAAATGAAAAAGTGTTTGAACCATCCTTTGACATGGTAGATAGAAGTAATTCTGGTTTTAATAGTTTTAGTTTTATCATGTTTTATTATTTTAAACCTCCTGGAGTAGTGTTTCAACATTAATGGGGAGCGGTATACAAATTAAATACATACATACATACATACATACATACATACATACATACATACATACATACATACATACATACATACATACATACATACATACATACATACATACATACATACATACATACATACATAAGCAGCAGCATCCCTTTTACATCCTTTAAATTCATAGTTCAAATAATATGTCTTGTTTGTGTGTGTGATCAGTTTTGTGTTTCCATAAATATCTGTCATCTGAAAACCACCAGTGACAGCAACAAGATAATCATACCTGTACACACTGATTATTGCTGTCTGCTATTAATATTTTCCCATTTGTAGATGCAGCTACTCCCTGAAGATTTGTAAACTCTCCTTTGTTTCTCCCTTTGGTACCTAAAGGAAACAAGAAATGCAACCCAGACTAAGGAGGAAGTTAAATAGTGCAAAAATCCCAAACTTTAAGGCCCAAGGAACAGCCTCAGATTTGTAACACACTCTATATAAATATGAAACCAAGAAATGCTACATTAAATGAATACAGTGGTGCCTCGACTTACCACCGTCCCTACTTATGACCATTTTGAGTTACGACCAGCTCCGGCTGCAAAATTTTGCTTCTACTTGCGCTTGGAGCTTCCATTTACGAACAGAAAAAGGCGGGGGGGTGGGGGAAGGCAGGCAATTCAAATTTCTAACTGTAGGTGGTGACGAGGCTGCTTCTTTGTAGCTCTTTCGCCCCAGTAGTTAGAGAGTGTGCGATCTGAGCATGTGTTTTGTTTGTAGGGAGGCTTGGAAATGCCTGTTAAGGTAAGGTGCTGTTTTCTGCTTTTTAAAAACTGTTCTAGGTGATTTTGCAGTGTGATTTTAGGCTGGGGAGAGTTATGTTTCTGTGCTGTGGTTTTTTTTCGTGATTTTTTTGGGGGGGCATCCCAGCTACGGGGCTTGCTTTGCTGTTTATTTTTGGTTTGGCTTTTTTTTTCAGCCCCAGCCACGGAGCTTGCTTTGCTGTTTATTTTTTGTTTTCTTTCTTTTTTCAAAGCCCCAGCACCTTCCAACGCGGTTTGCTCTCTCTGTATGTGTGGTTTGGTTTTTTTCCAGAACGGATTAATCGTGTTCCAATGCATTTCAGTGGGAAATGGTACTTCAACTTATTACCATTTTGAGTTAGGTCCATCTTCTGGAACAGATTATGGTCATAAATTGAGGCACCACTGTACTGATTTAAGTCCGATTGATTCACCCTTTGGTAATAATAGCAGGATTTATTAAAGGCTTCCTTTTGAGAGAGATGCCGTCCTTATGGGCGACTGCAAATTTCCCCATCTCCCAGCCCTATAGTCTATGTTGCTCTTAAATCAAGTATATTGGGAGGGGGAGTAATAGCTGAGACAGAAACACCACCCAGCTTATCCACCCAGATCTCAGTAATACTCACCACGTCAGCCCATTCATCTACAAATCAAATCATGGACAGTAAGTGTATATTATGGACTGACCTGGCATTTAGCAGCAGTATCAAAAGACAAGTAGGAGGACCCCATTCTCCTCCCCTCTCCTGAGATTCACCAGGGCACATTTCTAAGCACAGGATCCGTTGCAAGTGTAAAAGTGCAGCAAGTTAATGTATTTGCATTCCCCAGCAAATATAGCAACAGTTTCAGGGGAAGTCACACAAAATTGCATGACCTGCAGAAGGTATGTTCAATTCGTTTTACACCAGCAGCTACATTAGGGTATTTCTCTGGTCACTACCCTCTCCAGCCTGCAGGCACTCCAAGTGCTCAGCTCTACCCTGGCCACCACACAATTCCTCCTTTTGGACCCTCAGGGCTTTGGAGGCAATCTCCAGGACACTCAACCCACACCCTTACTGTGGATGATTTGACAGGCCTTTGTATCTCACCTAAGGTCTGTGTTCCCATTCACTTCCTCACATCTGCCCCTATGTCTCCTCAAAGTAGTGACCCCAACTAGCAGGCTCTGCCCTTTTACCCTCCACCTCCCAGGAAGGTGAAGGTCCTGGGGTGGAAGGAACAGCTGGTCCTAATCAGCTGAAGTCTTCCAGCTGCCACCAGCATGGTCCCAATTTAGTGGGGAAGCAGTCACCTCACAGGGAAGGTAGGCAGGTGAAAAAGCCTTTCTCCTATGTTTCCCACCAAAGCCTCCAATGAAATGGAAGAGACATTGCCCCATTGTATCTGAAATAGTTAAATGTCCAGTTGTTCTCAGAGTCTAAAGTCTAATCAAACCTACATTGTGTAATGTATTGATTGTCCATGGAAAGCTCTGAGATTTCAAGAGACCTTTTGAAGAACTGCTTTAAATGCCATCTAAAGCTTGAGCTCATCTTCTTTATAAAGGTTCTCCCCCTTTGTTAAGAACCAGATAATCGCCTGTCTTATACGTACTTATACGTGGTAAGTCTCTGCAATCAAAGGTTCTTTTTTTAACCTTTCAAACAATCTTCTGTAATTGAAGGTTGCAAAAAAATATATATACCCCTCCAATCATTTCTGGAAAATAAGCTTAAATCTCCCCCTCTTTGGTGTCCTTCCCTTATATGGACATAGCTAAGCTAAATTATCTGAAATTACTCATGTGTTCTTTGTGTCTCCCCTGGACAGGCAAGAATCTATTGGGCAGACAACAGTCTATCCTCTGAGAGGCGAGAACTGAGGTCCCAGAGGCAGATGATTGTTTTAGTATATTTGAGCTATGCTCTAGAATGGATTTAGTCACTGAACATGGAGGTGGGATCTGCAGACCTGTCGGTAGAGGCATATATCCCAAAACAAGTGCTATCATGTTATTTTCACTATTTAGTAAATTATATCTACAGTTGGAGGGAAAAGACCTTCATTAGTAAAGTTTTAATCTGTATATTGTTTTCCTTCTCAGCGAGATGCTCCAGTCCTTGAACAGTAACCATGGGTGACCAATAACTGTTTGCAAACAGATCATTGATTTGTAGCAACACTAAATTCAGATCACTGTCTATAAACTAGTTGCATTTGCTGTTTGTGTCATAAACCATTGACAAGCCCTCCAATATCTGAAAAAAGAAATACCTTAAAAATAATCTTTTCTACTATTCTTCTCAGCAGTGTAATTTTCAAAAATGCTGCCTCAGAGGTTCTGGATTCCATAAATAATGTACATAGGGTCAATTTTCCATTCTTACATCTGCATACAGTTAAAGAGTTCTTAATCACCTAAGTAGTCTGGCATAAGGGAACCATTAGGCTGAAAATCTGTAACTAAGACCCCTTAATATTTTTCATCTACAGTTAATTAATCTGAAAAACCTTCATTGTGTGGAAAGTTCTACAATACTTTAATTGGAACAATTTCAAGTTCCTTGTTGGCATTTATTCTGAAATAAGGCAATATTAAGTGTATTTTGCAGGGTGGATTTGATTTAAATCATGATTTATGAAAAAACCACAATTTTTTAAAATTGTGATTTAAATCATGATTTAAATCAATTTGATTTTTTTAAAAAAAGTTATTGATTTATACACCCTGATTGTTTGCAACCAGACAGTGAAATCTTACAAATTTGCAAGAGAAATCTCCTTCTTACCTACTCTGAAGATCAGATCATCTTCAATCGGGTTCTCTTTTCTTTTGCCAGTGCTATACATGCTAGCTGGCCTTTTTACAGCTTTCTGTTTCACGTGGCCACTGCCTGGAGACTTAACACGCCTTTTAACTCCTTCAGTGGTGGGGGACACATCTGCTGATCTGATCACCTTAAGTTTGAATGGGCTGCCCCTAATATGCTGATCATAGAGTCTCAATGAAAGCGTGAAGTCCCCTTCTTTCTGAACAGTGTACAAAAATTCGTAAGTGCCGTTTTTATTGTCAAGTATTTCTCCATCTGCCACACTCCCATCAGGTGTGCTCAGCTCTGCGGTGAGGTAAGCATTCCCAGTTTTGCAGAGCTCGCCATCCTTGTCCTTCGTAGTGATTGTGACTGACATGGGCTGCCCTATTACTGTCTGCTTCAGTCCTTCACCTGTCGCCACCGTTTCGGAAGCTACTGCATTTGTGGTTAAAATAGTACCAAGATTATGAATGGACTTCTTTAGCCCATCTGTTTCCACTATGAAATCTAGCTGATCATTTTCACGGGGCTGCAATGGGAAATCTCGGATAGCCAATTCATTCAGCTTGTCACTCATTTGCTTCTTAACAAGTAGGACTTCTGTTTCAGTTCCATGGTTGAGTGCCTGGGCTGTAAAATTGCTGCAGCTTTTAATATTTTCCTGCCCTTCCAGTAGGGTATCAAGCTGATTCTGTAAGACCTAGACAGAGAAGAATACACCATGGTCACGTCATGCTAGATCTAGTAATAAAGGAAGCAGCAAGTTTCCATATGCCATGGGATATATCTAGTCACAATCCTAGAGGTTTGTTCTCTTTTCTCCCTCTTTATTACTATCTACACTGATGCCATTCAGCCTTGCTACACAACATGGTGAGATCAGAGACTGAGGAGGCAAGTTCAGAAGCAGGTCCAGCATGCACAGCCTCATCCCCCTCCCTGCTTATAAACAGGTCTAATAATAAATATGGAGTCTTAGATTCTCACCCGTCCCCTGCCATGTTGGAAAACTGGAAGGAGCCTCATGACGCAGTGGTTAAACTGCAGTATGGCAGCCAAGAATGTCATAACCCAACTTCAATCTCAACAGACTCAGCTAGCCAGGCGTAATGTTTCAAATAGAAGAAAAATGAATTCATAACATAAAAACAAATGGGAACATTCATCCAGGTATGTATACCACGTGACAGCAATTCAGTATAACAAAGGTATGGAAAGTATTGTTAGAATAGGGGAACAGTTCCCTGGTGCAACCGTGGCATTAGCTAAAGAAGTTGAGATTTTAGCCATTGTAAATCTTGGTATCATTGTGTACTCATTAGTTAAAAACCAATACAACTTAATACAATGAGCAAGGGATCTTACTTTATGCTTAAGACCATAATTCACTTCCAGTTCCATAAGTAACACACTCTTGCGGACATTTAAAGTCTTCTGGAGTTCATCAAATGTGGAATGAATTTCATCTACAATGCTGGTCTTTTGGTTGGTCAGCTGATGTATAATTTCAGATATGAAATGAAGTGCAGAATCTATTTCAGGAAGCCTGTTGGAAAATATAGGGAATTCTGATTCAAACAGTATTGCCACCCTTCTACCTTCTAAAGGACTCTTGTAGAACCACTTTCATATGTTGGACAAGGACTCGGGAGACCAGGGTCCAAATATGCATTCAGCCATGAAATTCACTGGCTGACCTCAGGCTTGTCACACATTCCCACTTAACATACTTCACAAGCTGGTTGTGAAAATAAAGTGAGAAGGAGGAGGGCCATGTACATTCTCTTGATATTACTGGAAGAAAGACTGGATATGAATGTAATAATGAACATCATAAAGTCATATGATATAGTATTGTTATACTATGGAATTTTAATTTTAGTGAATAAACTTTTTAAATGTACACGTAAATACCATTCAGATTCCAGCAACAACTGCATGATTCCTCCCACCCTCTTTTTTATTTAGGCACCAAGTCTTTCTTTAGGGACTTCTTATATTATAAGGGGATTTCACAGATAATGTTCAACTAATGCTAAATTTAGCTTTATGTGGATAAGAACATGTAATCTATACACTACATATAACACATTCATAGTTCACATGCAAGAACAAATTAAAGATCTGCTGAAGTAAAATAAAAGTCTAGTTTCGCCTTCCTTCCAGCCATGTTGGAGGAAGGAGAGAGGAGGGTGCAAGCTCAGTGCTTTGTGTTACATGGCCTGTAATAAACACAGTCCTCATTGTTTTGACATAGCAATAGGAGGACATGTGGATCAGGAGCAAATCTATTAAGCACCAAATGCTAACACATACATACCTTTCTGCTTTCCTAGTTTTGCATGTTCCTAACAGTTTTCATTTTGACTGGGTTTGTGAGCTTTTGGCAGTTATAAATTTTAATGATGGTTAGGCTGTTTCCAGCTTGAGAACCTATCTCATCTCTAGCTTTAAACCTTCAACATCATCAACAACAATATTTTTTAAAGGAGAAGCAACTAAATTGTGAGAGTAGCCAGCTTGTCTGGCAAGTGCTTATACTGTAGGTTGTAGAAGAGTCTGTCTGGGTCTGCCAATGATTGGCTGGTCTGATCCACTGCAGCTGCTAGAGAGCTCTTGATATAAAAGCAAACCTGAACTGCAAAGAGAACAAACCTATCAATTTTGAAAGAAATCAACCCTGAGTGCTCACTGGAAGGACAGATCCTGAAGCTGAGGCTCCAATACTTTGGTCATCTCATGAGAAGAGAAGACTCCCTGGAAAAGACCCTGATGTTGGGAAAGTGCGGAGGCAAGAGGAGAAGGGAACGACAGAGGTCAAGATGGTTGGACAGTGTCACTGAAGCTACCAACATGAATTTGACCCAAATCCGGGAGGCAGTGGAAGACAGGAGGGCCTGGCGTGCTCTGGTCCATGGAGTCACGAAGAGTCGGACACGACTAAACAAGAACAAAATAGAATGTGTTTGTTCTGATATGGTTATCTAGTTCCTGAATCCATTTTATCCTGAATTAACACAGATCCTGAATGCAGGAGTGGTGGCATTTTATCTGTCAGGTTTCGAGCTGTAGGGACATCTTTGCCCATGGCCACCCATGGGAATGTCTCTATGTAGTCGTGCATAAATTAACGTATTGTTGCTGAATTATTTTATTAACATAGTTATGAGACTACAGTGAGTAGACATGCTGCAATAGGTAGCCTAAAAACAAAAATGAATCCTAGAAATGTCTTAGGAAAGAATTATTGTAGTGCAGTGGATAGAGAAATGAAATTGGATTCAGGAGATCTTGATTCAAGTACTTGCTTGGCCATGGAAACTCATTGGTGGTTTGAACTGGTAAAAATACTCCTTAAATCTCATTTCCCTAAAAAAAACTATTAAAGTTCTTAAAAGTAAAAATACATGAATTTTTAAAAAATGTCTTACCTAGCCCTATTAGGGTTGAAATTAGTCAGAAGATTTGGTAGCACATAACACACACAGAAATGTCTAGGACAGCATGAGTTTATGGTTCAGTTTATGTGTTTATAAATCTTCAACGTATTTGCTATAATGTTCTCAACCTGACCTTTCTAGCAGTTTAGAAAACTGGTGAAAGGGGAGAAAGAAACATGACAAAGCCTTAAAAGAATGCAGGCTGCAGAGAAGTATATTGACAGTATTTGTCTTGAAGTTCTTAGATAAAGTCAAATGAAATAATGTAAAACACAGAGCTTGATGGTTATATTAGTATGTGACACTAAAGTGTAGTTTAGCATCAAGAGGACAAGCCTGTGCAAATCTTAGCTTTGGGAGTTCCCTTTCTTTTCTTCATTAAACAGATAAACAAGAAACAGTTGGGTTCTATTTTAGACTAAATGCAGCTTGTCATGTCATCTAAACTTGGACAAACTGCAATTATTTGAGATGAGAGGGGGGTAGGAGCCCAACACTTACACAGGATCAGTCCTTGTAGTGCTAAACCATGGTTTTACCATATTCCAGTCAATGTGTCTTAAACCTATAAGTCTCATCCAATTATCTTCTTAGTAAATAAAAAAGAAAGCATACTGTACTGTAATTAAATAACAATAACAGGGATATGAATCAGGATTGTTGTTTTCCATTGTAGACTGGTGAAAGTTTCAGCAGAGGCATAAAAATAATGTTGCAACTTATACACTTTCTACATCTGTACTATACAAGAAACCGTAGAGATGGGAAGGCAAGTTGTTGTTTTTCCTGTCTCTTCTCCCCCTTCCTCCACCATTACTAAGACCGGCAGCTGGCTGACACTGACATTCAATAATTTCTCCAGCTGCTTTTAAAAGCAGGTTAGAAAAACGACACCTCACTTATATTAGAAACTATGTTTCACTTTTATTTTCAGTATGACATAAACTGCTTCGCCATAGAATGCACTTCTCTAATCTCAGAACATGCATTATAGAGTTTCATACCTTTTGTTGACAGAGTCTAACTGCGCTTGAAGAGAAGCCTTGTGCTGCTCTACGACATCCTTGAGAGGTACTGTGGGGTGTTCTGCATGCTCGCCTTCTGTACATTCCCGGCACATGGCTGTCTCACAAGACTGACAGTAAAATTCCATCAGCTAATTACGGAGAGGAAAAGCATGACCACAGTTAGAACAGCAATATCTCTGATTAAAAGCAAACTGATCCTTAATATGTCATGCCCCTAAACTCACAGCAATGTGACCGCAACACATAAAGAGTTCAGGATGAGGGGGCTTCCCAAAAGTTATTAGGATGTGCTATTATATATTTCAGTGGACTGATGTTTTAAATTGGCCATCAGTCCCTGGAGTTAATAGGTATTTGGTAGTTTGTCTTTCAATTCTAGTAGGTCTAAAAAGCAGACCAAGCAATTCTCCATGCTATATCGGCTGCCTGTTTATTAGACCAAGCTCTCCAAAACAGCTGCAGGTTTATAGATTTTCAGGTACTTCTTAGAACTGCAATCCTATGCATGTCTACTCAGAAGTAAGGCATGTACTTTATTCAATAGGGCTTACAACCAAGAGCGGGTGTACGATTGTGGCTTTTCTCTGTAATCTGACATCCTTGTCCACTACACTGAGAGTCACTTTCTTCTGAGTAGATAGCACATACAATTGCATTGTTCATCTCCTATAGTCGCAAAAATTTCATTACAAAATTCAGGGGGGAAAACACCATGATAGTGCACAGTGAATAAATTATTTGTGAAGCTTGTATTTGATAGAATACATGTTTTTGCAAATATATTTCTTTAAATTAACTATTGTAGCAAATATTATCATACTTCTATAAACACAAAAGAAATACAATTCAACGCTGGTGTAATAGAAAGTAGATCCAGACCTCTTTGTGATTTGCAATAGATACCAAGGATTTCTAACTCTCAACTGTTTAAGAAAAGCAAAGGAATAGAAAAAGGACTCTCCTGAACCCTAACCTCTAATTATACAACTGAGAGGGGAAAAGTTTTGGTGGAAAAAAACTGCCTAAATGTCCCCTCAGAAGACTCCAGGGGGCGCGATTGGCCATATAAAAGCCTTTCGTCCATCTCCCCATCCTGTATTTTAGGCCGAAAACAATGTTTTTAAAGAACTGGAAGCAATCTTCTGTCCACTTCTGGTTCTTAAACTTGGGTGAATGTGGCCCACTGCGGATTTGAAAGGGGGAGGCAAAAAATGGCTCCAAAGTTGCCTACTCCTGGCTTAGGCCAAATACAAATAGATTTGAGATAAAAGGGAGCCGGGTGGTGATTAACAAAATACAAATGCAAGAGCAGGCAAATACTTTTAAGAGAATTTATAGATTCTGGCTTTAAAAAAAACCTATGGCATTTCTGGTACTGAGAACAAAACTCAAGTTTCAGGAATTTGTAAATTCTAAATGTTCATACTTTGATTCCTGTTGATGGATCGGGGATCTAATAAACAATGTACATCTTGAAAGACTGATGCCTGTTGTGCAAAATTTAAGCATGCTGCTACTACAGGGGCTGTTTTCACCCTTACTTTCATTTCTTATGCTTTAGGAATATTAAGTTACTTCACAAATGCTTGAAGCATTAGTGACTCATTCTGGAATACAAATTGAAAGGCATCAGGTTTGCATATAATGAGGCCCATATTTTTGGCACTCACAAGTTTCACAGAGAATAATCTGTACTGCTTAGGCTGACATTTAGAAGTTTTTATGAGAGGGTGAAAGCATCAGTTATTTTTCAAATCAGGAAAAAGCACATTAAAAGGGATTACACACAGGAGAATTAAAGAGGTCTGAAAACCTCTTACAGATTAATAAAAATACCACCTAACTGTTTTTTTAATCTAATGAAGGACACCATATTTTCCGGTAATAACATCTTTCCTGCTTGTTTCTTGTCTATGTACAGAAAAAGACCATCATTACAAAAATGTTTTGAAGACCTCATTTAAAAAACAAACAAACCCTAATGTGGCATGGCCCCATTGAAGGTTTTATTGTATACATATACTATCTGAGCCTGGCTGGATAACTCAATGAGTTAGGTAGAAGTTGAAAGTTCAATTCTACACTGTGCCTCTTGAGGAAAAAGCCAGCATGTATGGCCTTGGGCAAACTGTACAGTTCTAGAGTGTCCCAGAAGAAGGGAATGATAAATCACTTCTGAGGACTCTCTACCCAGAAAACACCCAAAAGGGTCACCATAAGTCAGAATTGACTTGACTGCACACAACTACATAGTACAGTACTGTATCTGTATTTCCCTGAGTACTTTAAATGGGTGTTCCACGTTAGGGAGGCATCATGCACTTTCTTTCATGCTCTGGTTTTCTCTTTTTCTCTCTCCCCTCAAACAAATGTTTTGAGCAGTAATATCTACTAAGTTTACTTCCAGTAGCCCTACAATATTTTGGAAAGAAAGAGAAAGGGGGGACTTATTTTTTTGTGGCCCCACAAATCTTGACATCATAACAGAACAAGAACTCAATATCAGAAATAACCATGGTAAAAGCAAGGTCTGTTAGCCACATGTGGTTCTGGGACCTTCAGACTGTGTCTCCAAATTCTGCTGACCATTTTTTTTCTGCATAGCAGAAAAAGGTTGAGAATGGTGATCCATTTTTCAAATACAATATAGATCCTATGCACTGTCTGAGAAAAAAATTACCTCTTTTCTAAACTGAAAATGGACTTCTAACAACTCCAAATATTTTGGCTTTTCTGGTTAGGATCTCAAGACAGAAAACTTGCCAAAGTTGCCCATTCCAGTCTAAAACTAAAATGCTATAGATACAACCACAACCAACCTTGAAGACAGATCATATAGTTTATAAACTGTGAATATGATTTATTGGTTGTCATCCTATTATACTGTCAGTGAACTGCCAGAGAACAGGATTAAAATTCAAAATGGCCTTGACAGATTAGAGTCCTGGGCCAAAACTAACAAAATGAATTTCAACAGGGAGAAACGTAAGGTCCTGCAGATAGGCAGAAAAATGAACTGCACAGATATAGGATGGAAGACACCTAGCTAGACAACAGTACCTGTGAAAGGGATCTAGGAGTCTTGGTAGACCACAAGCTGAACATGAGTCAGCAGTGTGATGCGGCTGCCAAGAAAGCCAATGTGATTCTTGTTGTATCAATAGGGGTATAGTGTCTAGATCAAGGGAAGTGATCTAGTACCACTCTATTCTGCTTTGGTCAGACCTCACCTGGAGTATAGTGTCCAGTTCTGGGCAAGTCAATTCAAAAAGGATACTGACAACCTGGAACGTGTCCAGAGGAGGGCGACTAAAATGGTTAACGATCTGGAAGCAATGTCCTACAAGGAGCGGCTTAGGGAGTTGGGAATGTTTAGCCTTACAAAAAGAAGGTTGAGAGGAAACATGATAGCCATGTTTAAATATTTGAAAGGATGCCATGTTGAAGAGGGGACAGGTTTGTTTTCCAGGGCCCCAGAGACTAGGACATGGAGCAATAGTTTCAAATTACAGGAAAAAGAGTTTCCATCTGAACATTAGGAAGAACTTCCTGATGCCAGAGCTGTCTGGCAGTGGACTAGGCTGCCTCGGAGTGTGGTGGAGTCCCCTTCTTCAGAGGTTTTTAAGCAGAGGCTGGATGGCCATCTGTGGGGAGTACTTGATGGATGTTCCCATTAAGCGGGGGGGTTGGACTGGATGGCCTCAGTGGTTTCTTCCAATTCTATGACTCTATGACTCTGTTTACACATGTGAACTTGCAGTTCAAGAGGTTTACAATAAAAGGGAGGCCCAATGAATGTGGACAAATTATTGAATGTCTTTCAATAGTGAATGATCTTTTTAAAAAAATATTAATTTCAGTGATGCATAAAGAAAAGAAATAAAATGTCAGGGAATGAGGCAACAGAGGGCGATGACTTTATTATGGCCGTGGGCACTTTTGGCAAGTGTAAGAGCCAATATCCTACTGCAATATCCTCTGCGAACACCACAGACCACCCAAAATTGGGGGGTGGGAGGGTGGTGGGGGAACCCACAGAAGTGGCTGAAAGTCATCTCCCAGTTTTGAAAAACTGGTATTTTTGTAGAGTGTTATGTGTTGCACCTATGAGGCAAAATGCTGGAATATAGAATCTTTGCTTAGATACTATGCCGTTTGAGAAGGATCACAAGAAAAGAACTTTTGCTATCACCTCAAATACACAAAGCTTTTACTTCTTCCAAACTGGCTACTAAGTATATTAACTCTGCCATGCTTATGGATTTTTCCTTGCCAAGCACTTCGTTGTGTTCCACTTTTATAAAAAGCTTCTTAATGTGTTGCCAATATTGTTCACTCTACTCTGGCTCATTCTGAAAGCAACATAGTGCTCACTGATATATCAACAACAAAGCCAACCTGCCAGCTCAAGTGGAATAATGAAATAATTCACTCATATGCTACATTGATTCCTAAGGTCCTTTGTTAGCATCTGTGCTTTATACCAGTTTTTCATTTCCTGTTATTGCTGATTATCATAATGGGACTGATGATGCTGGGGTGGTATAAAGTTGAACCCAGTCCATCTGGATTTTGTTCACATTCTGAATCTGACCTGTTGTTAGAAAGGAATGTTGCCATAGGTCAGACAGAATAATGACCTGGTGGGAAGGAGCTTGTTTTTCCTCTGCAGTACCGTTGTTTGTGTTATTTGCTTGACTGATTTGGAGGTATTTGCTTTGCAGACACTTTCTGGAATACACTTGCTCCACACTTTAAACATATCAGAATCAGCATATTACAATAGACCAGTGATGGAGAACCTTTTTGAGCCCGAGTGCTCAATCTACAACACAAAACCAACTTATTTATTTCAAAGTGCCAACACTGCAATAAAAACTGAATACTGAGGCAAAAACGATGAAATTGAGGTTGTCCTACTTGGGCACATCTTGAAAAGACAGGATTCTCTGGAAAAGATATTAATACTGGGAACAGTGAAGGGCAACAGGAAAAGAGAAAGCTCAAACACGAGATGATCAGACTCCCTAAAGAAACCACAGGCTTGAGTTTACAAAAGCTGAGCAGGGCAGTTGAGGACAGGTCATTTTAGAGATTTCTTATTCATATGGTCACCATGAGTCAAAGGCAACCTGGGGTTGAAGAGGGTGGGCTTCAGAACTCGCAGCTCACCACTCCCACCTTTCCTTTTCTTTCTCTGTAGTAGGGTTCCCCCCCCCTTTTCTGGTCAGAGGGAAGGATCGATCCCAGAGGAGGAGGAAGCACCAGCAACCCCCTCCCCCTTTCTCTCTGGGAGAAGGATGGTTATGAGCGCTTGGTCTCCGGAGCAGTTAGAACTCTCCTCAGAACTGGAGACGTTGATGCCTCAAGTTCTTCTGAAGCAACTCCGTCTCATGTCTGCCATGGAGGAACACGGGAAGGGGAGCATAGAGCGAAGAAATGGCTCCAAATCAGAGCGAGGCTTGAAGTTGCTAGAAATCCCTGTTGCTACTTTCCCCCTCCTAGGCTCTCCCCCTCCAGCTCAGTCCCTCTTGGAGGCTCCCTCCCCTTAGTTGCTCACACACAAGCAAAAACGGCACTGCTTTTTCTCCACTCTCCCGATTCCTCAGAGGGAAGCAAGCAGCCGCAGCCAGAAATAAGCCAAGAGAAAAAGGGGCATGGCTGAAAGGGAAAGGCGGGAACTCAGGCAACTCACACACACAATGGAATGCAGAGGATCCAGCCAGCAGTGGGGGAGAAACCAAGGCGGGGTCGGTGCTGTCACGAGACTAGGTGAGCCAATAGCCTGAGGGCTCATGTACCCATAGAGAGAGCTCTGCGTGCCAGCTGTGGCACGTGTGCCATAGGTTCGCCATCATTGCAATAGACTCATGATTCAACAAAAAGCAAGAGCAATGGAAGAAGAGGTAGAGTTTTGGCCTTTTTGCTCTGGGAACACATTAATTTGTGACAGAACAAAGTCAAAGACATTCCTCTTCCAAATCATAACCAGTTGATCTCACTTACAACTAAAATAGACACACATAGAGTAACTTAGTTATGAATCCCTGCCTAACATTTTAGCTTAACACCAACAAATGCCTATTACACATTGCAGTCTTGATTGATTTTATCAATTTTATTGCTTAAGCGCAATATAGTGCAAAATGAAAATGAAATCAAAAGTTTCAATATTGTACTTGCTAAGGGCTAATCAACACACATGGATTCATCCTAATTCATTCTCTTTAACAGGCAATCATTCAATTAGTATTGAATAAAATCTATTGAGCTAATGAAACAAGGAATAAGCAATCTTTAACTCAATAGTCCCCAATTTTAACCACAGAATCCACCTGATTCAATGAGAATGGCTATTTCCCTTTCCCTCTCTTGACCAGCTATGGAAGACTATTCCACTTACATTTCCTTCATGATTGGGGCATGAAAGTGGCTTGCCCGCAGCAACAGCTGTGACAGTCTCCAAGATGGAAGACTCCTCAATGTTATTGTCTGGGGTTCGCTGCAGGACATCCATGAGGTTAGTGATGAAGAAGTTGTTCTGAAGTGCAGAAACCCCCTTCTCTGGTAGGATGGATGTCTGGCGGCACACTGGGCAAGAGAGGGTTAAGCTGTGGGCTGGAATGTAATTCTGTAGACACCTAATGAGGACGGCAGAGACACAAGCTAGTGTCAGAACAGAAGAGAAATCTCCTCCAACATAATTTATTAATAGGAGAAAGTAACAGTAATAGTCCATTAGCACCATCTGACACCTTCACATTTTGCAGACTCATGCAGAGAGTAGAAAATGCAACATCAATCTTTTTAAATATTTAAATTCTAAAGAAAGCATCCTCTAGAGTAAATGGTCAGAGACACTCTGAAAGGGAGAAAAGAGGATAAAGACATCAATGCAGGAAAGAAAGAGTAGTGAGAAAATCCTGTTCAATCAAACCACACATACAACACACCATAATATGAGTAGTTTGACATATATGTCCTCTGTACAACTACCACTACCTCCCTATGCAAGGACAAGTCAGGTTTCCTCAGTGGAAAGCGCTGCTTCTACAACAGGAGTGCTGACCCAAGTAGTGCAATGCTGTTTATATAACCAGTGGAACACTCCACTCGTCACAGTCGCAGTAGGATAGTGGCCAAAGCCTGCTGAATATTTCGGGATGTATATTATCTATGCTGCATTGGATTATTTTGAAATTTGTTGTACTGATATTCGCTTCTGAGTAGACATATAAGTGAAAACTGAGTTGTGCATCGTACGCTTGGTCGGCAACCGTCTAGATCAGTAAGAATTATATTTGGGCACAACCACATGGCTTTTAGCCTTGCCTTGTGCTTTTAGCCCCATCCATTGCTAGAATGAACGCCCTGAGATTTGGGACTGCCTCACTGGACTGAAAAATGTTCCCTACCCCCACATTAATGCACTTTAGAACAGTCAAAACAATAATATTAGAAATTCATGAGAGCTTTGATAGAGGTATACTCCCCCCGCTACTATACTCACTCATTTCTATTAGCCCATTGTCATTTTTGGCCAAAAACATGGTGGTATTTGTTGGGTTGTGTGTTTTTTTAGTTCACTGTGAAAAACAGCAAAACCTAGGAAAAGAGGTAATAGATGTACATACGAAAAATAACGATGACTCTATTAAAAAGCTCAAAAAGCTTTTAAAAAATTAAACAGTGTGGGGGGGGACAAAATATGATAAATCTGTCACAGCCTGAGCTTCAGGTTGCAGCAAATTCCACAAGCAATGTCTAATGGAGAGTCTGACACCAAGGAATTGAGTGCCTTCACATGTAGTTCCATCAGACTGGAGACTAATGAATCCTATTGCCATGAAAACAGTGCTATAATAAATAAGGGCCAGCCCTGCCTATAGACAGAATGATCCATTTGCCTAAGTCAGGAGATACTGGGAATTTGGAGAAGCAGCAGCAGCAGCAACATCCTTCCAGCCACTCTAACCAGCTACTTCTCCCCTGCCCAAGATGATGGAGAGAACCTGCAAGATACGCAGCACCTACTGCTACTCTCAAGTGAGTTACAGTAGTGGTTCTTCATCTTTCATATTTTACGTTCCACCAATTACTTTTGTCCAGCCCTAGCATGGTGCAAAAGCCTATTTTTTTTCCAAGAACATTTACAAGTTTCCAGGCATTCCGTTGTTATTATATATAATTTATAGTAAAATAACTGTGCAGGGGAGAAGAAGCAACAAGTATACAAAGTTACTGCGAAGCACGCCACAGGCAATGAATGGATAATCCATGATAGGGAGGCATGGTAGATGACAGCATGTCTCATATGCAGTAGAACATGGGGATATAGGGAGAGTGAATTTTTTGTATAAATAATCAGCAGCAACCAAGGGACTTGATAGTCCACATCAACATGTACACACACAGGAACATTTGAAACTGGCTGCTTCTTACCAGTTCATGTTACTAGTCCAACCAGGCCAGTACTGCCTACTCTCCCTCTTTCAGAAGTAAGATTGCAGAAGGAGGTCTTTCTTATCCTCTTCGACCTGGTTATTTTTAATTGCCTGTACTGCAGAATATACATGACAAGATATCCTCTACTGCAGAATCCATAGTTGTAGCAGAATATACATGACAAGATATCCTCTACTACAGAATCCATAGTTGTAGTTTTAGGAAAGGTAGCCGTGTTAGTCTGTGCTTAGCAGACAAGTCCACAAAAACTCACATTAAAATATAGCAGTCTTTAAGGTGCCACAGCATTTTTGTCTTCTCTATGTTTCTATCCAATATACAGTGGAAGGGAGCATCTCAAAAAGTCTTGCAGTATACATGAGACACTGAATTAATCTCTTTGAGTCTGTCCTACAGTTTTACCAGTTTTAGCTCAGTGGGTTAGGCATCTGGCTGCGGAGCCAGAGGTTGGGAGCTTGATTCTCCCTTGTGCCTCCTTGAGAGGGCCTGTACTCAGTGATCCACGGGGTCCCTTCCAGTTCTGCAGTTCTAAGAGAGAGTATTATAATTATCATATAACTTAACAATTTAATACAACCAAGTGCATAACGCATTATTACTCATGGCCTTTGCACTGCTTATCAGCCAATCATTGGTCATGAATTAGCTTACAGTACTTCAGGGCCCATCCTTTTGTTGTCTCCCTTTTGCCTATGGTGAGGCATGTGAGTGCATCTGTTACCACAGGCTGTGTTCAACCCTTATTTGGATTTTGGCCACCACTACAAATGCTGAGCATCTGCATAAGCATGCCAAAAGTTGAAGCTAGAGTTAATACAGCTCATGGCAACAGAGGCATGGGAACGTCTTTTAGGCAAACTGGCTTCTAAAATTTGTATAGTGATGCTGGTTCTCTCTCTCTCTCTCTCTCTCACACACACACACACACACACACACACACCAAAATCCTAAACAGCGTAATTAGCACATCCACACTAAAAACAAAAACAAAAATTAAGCAAATGCCTATGGGACATACTTGTTAGAAAGCAAACAGTAAAATCGCCAGAAAAAGCACACACACACACACACACACACACACACACACCAAAAGCCTAAAGATAAACAGAGTCATTAGCACATCCACACTAAAAAGAAAAAAAATTAAGCAAATGCCTATGGGACATACTTGTTAGAAAGCAAACAGTAAAATCGCCAGAAAAAGGCAACTGTGCAAAAATAGCTTAAAGAGCATCTCCACTCTCAGACTGCTTCTTCTTCTCTTTTTTTGGAGCGGGGAAGACTTCTACTGATCTTTCCAAACATGGAAATACATTACAGGAAAAATGTCACCTGTTAAATATCTGTGTATGTTATAGCTGACTGCTAAAGACACAGGAGCCCTGCCAGAACAAAAGACAGCAGCAATATTTCCAGCCAACTACAGCAATGTTGAATACTTTAACCTCTGACAGCAAACTTTTGCTACTATATGTTATGTGCAGACCTATACAGCCTTACTATACCTCAGCAGGACATAGTGTCATTTACAAGAGGGATTGCATGCAGTGGCATCACCCCTAATGTCTTTGTAAACTGCAGCACTGCTTTCTAACTCTTTGGTTTTCCTAGTAAGCACGAAGGGCTACAGAAATTTCTACTCAAGTTTGCTTCACTTCCAAGTAGACATCTTCACATAATCAGGAATGCTAAAGCAGGTTTCCTGGTTGTGTATGTGCTTCTGTTCACATGCAAGTGAATGTATTACTAAAAAGCTCTTTCCGAGCTTCCTTCAGAGTTCGAAACACTCATGTTTTAGTACTACAACTGCAGCCAATGCGGCCTGTGGTTGGCTAGCTACAGTCCAGAACGTAACTTCTACAAACTCCAACTTCCCTGCTTAGCACAGGGGAATTAGGAACATGAGGGGCGGGGCTGGGGCATGGGTGTGATAAATTATTGCAAATTTGCTTGTTTGCCTGGATTTTAAAAGTTGGATGTTTTGATGATTTAAATAAAAAAACAGATTTAAAAACAAATTAAATCATGATTTAAATCAACTTGATTTTTTAAAAAATCCTTGATTTTTGTTCACCCTATCTGGAAACAGCCTGTTGAGAAATCAGTGAATACAGTGGGGTCTTGACTTAAGAACGGCTTGAGTTAAGAACATTTTGACTTAAGAACCACTCTCATAGGAAAATCCTGACTTGACTTACATACTTAGATTTGAGTTAAGAACTGAAAAAACCACGTGGGAGGCAGGGAAAGTGCAAAATTTGAACTTTCAGTTAACTGTTGGCCAGTGAAAAGGGTGCCTGTCTGCTTCCTCACTCCTCCCAGCGTTTAGAGAGTGGATTGGGAGACAGTCTTCAGACTGCCTGGTACTGCCTGGACTGTATTTTCCCTGCCTTCCCTGAACCTTTCTTGAGCTAAGAAAAAAAGAAACAAAATATCCCCCTCTAGTGGTCGAAGGCAGTATAGCAGCTTCCCATTAGTTTCTATGGACGGAAAAGAGCAGATACGGATCAAATGGTTTTCAATGCATTCCTATGGGAAATGCAGATTGGACCTGCGAACTTTTTGACTTGAGAACCGCCTTCCAATACGGATTAAGTTCTCAAGTCAAGACCCCACTGTACTGCATGATTTCTCATGCCCAAATGAATTAAATCATGATTTAAATCAACTTGATTTTTTAAAAAATCCTTGATTTTTGTTCACCCTATCTGGAAACAGCCTGTTGAGAAATCAGTGAATACTGCATGATTTCTCATGCCTGGTGCAACAACTGGACAAGAATCAGTGTTTTCCCATTCAAGTTTCTGCAATTTATACAACATGCCTCTGTATAAAATGAGTATCTTTCTCTTCTATGAAACAAAGTGTGTGTGCCCCTCCCCCACAGTATAAGCACAGAAGAACAGACTGATTATTCAAAAGGAAACAACTATCCAATGCTTTTGATTTTTTAGGTCCATGCAATATAGTGACAAATACTATAATTTTGACAATTGTACAATTTGCACAAAAATTGTTCTCACAAGCACAAGAACTCTTGTTTGCAGTGGGAGAAAGCATCACCACTTAACAAGTAAGGACAAACATTCTACAGTTCCTCAGTCTTGTAAACAAGAAAGAACTTGAACCAACTCCTTTTTACACCCATGGAATTAATTTCCCATGTTAAAGTGCCTAAATTCATAACTTGGTGGGCCAGAGGGAAATCATTCTGCCTTATATCATATAAATGTACTGACTGTAACCGAAGGTTGGCTAACAGTTGCAATAAAAACAAGCATGCTTACTTAAATGGCACCATGAAGTTTTATATGACTTTCGCACATTCCTCCCTAATAATCTGAATCCTTTTCTTTTGCCTTCAAAGTAAAAGGAACTTGAGAGCATTTTAGCCTTTCCATTCATTAAACTTAGTTTTATATTTCAGATGAACTCTTCAACCAAATTGAAGGTTCACAGTTAATCAAATGTAACCCGAGACATCTACAAACCAATCACTGCTGTCCTTGAGCGAGATCAACCAACTACAAAGCACTTCCTCTGTAGAACAGAAATATGTCTTACCTCTCACAGAAAGTGTGCAGACAGGGGAGCACTTTGGGGTTCTTGTAACGGTCGAGGCATATGCTGCAGATCAGAAACTGTTTGTCAATCTGACGCACCACAGGACTTGGGATGTTGGCACCTTCACTGGCCATCCTAGACCACTGACATGTGGGTCCCGCTCCTGTTCACCCTGCACGCTGCTGAAACATTGAAAGGAATAATCAAGGGTTAGAGGCAAAACCATAACTCTGCCGCCACCACTGTGGTATAGGGGTTAGCGTGTTGGAGTAGGACTCAGGAGACATGCGTTCAAATCCCACTTAGTTGTCAAGCTGACTGGATAATCTTGGACGGGTCGTACTCTCACGTCCTGACTGACTTCACAAGGCTCTTGTGAGGATAAAGTACAAAGAAGACCCAGGCATGCTACCATGAGATCACTGAAGGGGAAAGGGATATAATTATAATAAATGAATAATAAACAGACCTTAATATGCTTTAATAATAAAGGACCTTAATGTGCTTTATTCTGATTCAAGTATTATATTAATGAGAAGGGCATCTAGAAGTTTTACAATTTTAGACTGGCACTGTTAGACTGCGATACTGTTGGATGTATTTTTTTATGGAGGAGTTTGTGGGGCTTAAGTATTAAGCTATCCAGAGCAGTGCTTACACTAATGGTGCAGTACATAAGTAAAATAAATAAATAAAGTCCCACCATACCACATCAGTGCCTGTGTAGCCTGGGGCGGATGGAAGATAGGGCTAAAACACCACATGGAGGGCACCGCGTTATTTTCCTATGCTATAAATTCTTTCTTAAAAGTCTATCCAGTGGTTATGAACATCTATATTGCATTTTTTTATTTTACCATCATTTATTTTATGTATAAATATATAGATAAATATAACCGATTATACTGATGTCCCACTAAGAGCCATTTACATATAACTTTCAGGTAGTCTCCCATCCAGGAACTGATAACGCTGAATCCTGCTTAACCAAGAGTGTGATAACAAAATGTCCTTGTTGACAGAGGCCTCTGGCTATATGAAAAGCTGACGTGTATTGGTTTATGGAATTTTTGCTGAGTCAACCAACAGGAAATAGCGGCAGCATGCAAACCAGATGGGCACATATTTCTGATGCCCAGAAGCACTGCAACTCAATGGTCAAGCACATGGAAGTTCCATGTCTGATATCTCCTGATGTAAAGTAATAAAAAACAGTTTTCTCTGCTTGAAATATGGCACCAGCAACCAAAGAGTACACATAAAAGTCCAATATGGCTTCCTGAGTTTCTAGGAATGTTCTTTAACACAAGGCCAGCCAACTGGTGAACATCAACACATGGGTAATGTCTATAGCAAAGACCTTGCATGTATGGCTTTGTAGATCCATGGACCTTTCATTAATACCAAGAATGTAAGAAGGTGTCTAAAAACAAACCAGACCATTGGTTCATCTATTTAAACACTCTCAACACTGACTGGCTTCAGGGTTTCATACAGGGATCTTTCCCAGTTGTGTCCTTAGATAAGAAAGTGGGTGCTTCTCGGGATGCTTGGGATACAATACAAAGCAAGTGGTACTCAGTGAAAAACCTTCTCATAATCAGTTGCATAATAGTTAATTTGGATGTGCAGACAATTTTAAACAAAGGGGTCTGCTCACAAGAAGTGCAGTTGTTCCTGACACTGCGTGGCACTGTTATGCATGTTTTCTTTAAAAAAAATTTAGTTAATAGGGCTTACTTCTACCAATTGTACAGAACATTACACTGCACTCAGACATTCTTTCCTGATGTCAGAAAAGTAGCCATGGGCTCTCAATTACTCCTTCCTCCTCCTTTTACTTGTGTAGGTTAATATACTGTTTTCTAAACTAGCCAAAATATATTGTACTAGTTTATCTGAGCTGTGAAATTATATTTGCACAAACCCTCGGGAATTTCTGAATCCATGCGGTGATTACAACTTGAACCCTTCCGCCGCCCCCTGTCTTAGAATATTATAATTTAATATACTACACTGGTTCATTGTTAGATGTTACACTTAACAAACAGTAAGTTTGTTCACAAGCTTCTTATGTTTAGAAACATTATTTTTCAGGAGATAACAGGATTTCCTAATCACCTGGAAATATAAATATGCACATAATGCAATGCATCATCAACCTCCAGCAAATCCTGGATAAAAGAGCTGTAGAAAAGGAAGGGTTAAACCAACTGTGCTAAAAATTGCATTTAAAGCCATGATGAGAAGCTGTTATTTTCAGGGTGGGAAAGGAGTGCCTCTTACTAATTTTCAAGATAGACAGAGGTGGTGACAGATGTACATTTAGAGTGGACAAAACAGATAAATATTGACCATTGAAGACTGAGAACTGCTTCTACAATAAAGTCTGGTTAGCTGAAGGAAGAGCTTTGAAATGGCCATCAGCCTTTGATAAGAGATCAATGCTTGCATTAAGAAGTCTTCCAGCAAATGACATCATCTTAATTTTTTTTTTCCAGCAGGTTTCTGATTATAAAGAAACAGAAAGAAATTCCTGATTCTTTCTCAAAATGGCCTTTAAGGTTCAGGCAGAGTAGCTGCAGAATCAGTTTGTGCGTATAATGCAAAATCCTCAGCAGCACATGTAAAGAAAGAAGCCCCTAGTCTGTGCAGCCACACCCATCTGGGACTGATCTCCTTCAAACAGACAGATCAAGAATTCTTTTATAGAGCTTTAATGAATATATTTATCTGTATCAATTAACACAGTGGGCAAAAAAAAGTGCAATGATGATTGATGCTTTCCTGTTCAAAATGTACAGGATATTCATATAAAGACCCTATACTCCACCCAACCAGGCTGTGATTAGACTCTGAAAGAGCAGACTAAATTGCCTACCACTTATCAATGATTCACAGAACCCAGAGGTCTAAGCCAATGCATTATGAATGACTAGGTTTCCAGTAGCAACGTTTGCAATAAAACACCCAAACTCTCAAATCTGTAGACAAGGATGGATCCACTGCAGTAGAAATACTGCTTCAGAAAGAGAGAGGATAAGACATCAGTAGAATTCCACAAGCGCAGCACTTTGGAAGGGGGAAAAGCCTTTACTGGTGAAAAGTGTCTATAACAACAGTTTATTATTCCAACACTAACCTATTTCTATAAATTCATGGTCAAATGATTTATTTTTAAAAATCAGCTGGAAAGTCTCTTTTCTCACACACAAGACAAAACATGTTTTCCCTTTCACACTTTTTCTTCCCCATATAATTTTAATTAGTTTGATCCCTTATTGTTTAAAGCACTTACCTAACTCTAAAGCACGTGACATGGTTAATCAATTTCAACATACAGCAGGGATCGGAGAGAATAAAGGATTTTTAAAAGCATCAACTACTAGCTACCAGACAGGCACAAGACCGAACAAACAGAAAAGCTTGAGACATACCCATCTTCACAGGAAAAAAAGAGCTTAACTGGTACAATGCCAAGTTAGAAATCCTTCTCAGGACGGAGCTGTGCCTTGCAGTCATCCAAATGAGCCAACCATAATTATAGTAATATAGCAGGTTTGAAAGCCTCACATGTGAAACTGTGAGACAATCCCTATATGACAGCACAGTCGCTACTTAGGACAGCCACGGCGGATTCCTAGCTTTAAGTGACAATGCTCCATTCCGTGAAGAGAATAATGGAAGGAATGAAAGGAGGCCCAGTCAAGCTGTCATTAATTCTTGCCGCTCCCCTCCAGGTCACTGACAAGTGGAAGACCCCCCAAAGGATTCCAGCCAATCAATCTTTATTGAGTACATCTTTCTCACTTCAACCCTGAGCCTGAAAGACTGCAGCAAATGGTGCAAGGGATTGTGGGATAGGGATGCAGCATTGAGCTGCAATGAGATTCGCTGGGTGGATTTTTTCCCCCTCCTTTCCCCTTTTCTAGTCAGCAATAAGCTGTTTCAAGGCTGAGGAGCGTTGCTGGCCCATTGAATTTGATCACTGGAATGTTATTACAGCACCAGCAAGCAGGAACAGCCTGATGTGGCCATAGAAGACATGGGTAAGTATCTTCTTACAACATAAAAGAATTGAATATTAGCACTCTGATTCTATATTTATCTGGAGGGCTTGTTTTTTTATTTCTTGCTTTATGAAAAAGTAGGGAAGTCTCTTTTTAAAAAAATCCTCTCTATGCCACTTGTCTTTTTTTCTTTTTAAATACATAGCTCTTATGTCCTTCCATGTGTGATGTGGTAATCAATAGGTAGCCAGCAAATTTGCAAATGTTGAACAATGCAGGTTCACAGATCACTAATACAGTATTAATGTAGAAGAGATTATATGAACAGGAAGAACTGATGCATCAAAGTAAGAAAGACAGAAGAAAGATGTGATGGAAGAAAATTTGCAGAAGCAAAGCTGCATAGCTACAGTGTGTGTTCTTTGATGCATACTGAGGAACTCTTTATAAGGAAACCATTTAATTTTTCTAAAAATTGCTTGGGACATATTTTATGCTGCAGCTTCTCTAGGCAGACAGGCCAAACCAGTCATCCTACCCTAAAAGTCAGCTTACTTTAAAGCAATTAACACACAGTTAAGAACGTGCTAATATTTTAGAGATTGCTACATGATACGTTCTTTCCAAATTATGTAGAAACCAAATTGCTCCAATTTTTAAAATTAGCCCTATCTTCTAGTATATTTGAAAAGTTAGTTTTCAGTAACCTTTGAAGTAGTATATGCCCTGGATATATTTTCTTCAAAATCTCAACACTGGGATACAGTATATTTTCCTAAAAGTTACAACTGTTTCGAAATGGCTTTTTAAATATATTACCAAGTCTAAACAAAAGTTAGTCACATTAATGCTGCCAAATTGCAGCTAGCAATCTTGCCAATCAGATACTACAAGTGCATAGAGTAACCAATGTGCCAATCATTAAGTTACTTGCTATAATTTGTTCCTTATAAATATGCCACTTTTCTAAAAATCAATGTGTAATTCTGGATGGACTATACCTTCACACTCTATATTTAGCAGTAATATCTATAATTCTTCACATTACCTTGTTGGCCATTTTCTAGTCCAGTGGTTCCCAAATTGCAGTCCCAGATGTTCTTAGACTGTAATTCCCAGAAGCCTTCACCACGTGCTGTGCTGTCCAGGATTTCTGGGAATTGCAGTCCAAGAACATCTCATGACCCAAGTTTGAGAACCACTGCTCTTGTCCACCTTGATTAAATTGAGTCCTTCCAATGAAATACAAGAGTCAAAACTCACAACCATGCTGTGAAGTGCCACACTGTCTGGAGTTGATAAGAAGCCATGGTACAAAATAGCTGCAGAGTCTCTACTTGAAAGGGCTCACAGCTTTGAAAAGTTACTCCAGCCCAAATGGACACTTGCTGGTTCCAAAAAAGTAACTATAATTCTTCACATTACCTTGTTGACCATTCTCAAACTGGGGTCCCAGATGTTTTTGGACTGGAGTTCCCAGAAACCTTCACTACATTGGACTGCAGTTCCCAGAAACCTTCACTACATGCTCTGCTGGTCAGGATTTCTGGGAATTGCAGTCCAAGAATATCTGGCGACCCAAGTTTGAAAACCACTGCTCTTGTCCACCTTGCTTAAATTGAGTCCTTCCAATGAAATACTGTACAAGAGTCAAAACTCACAACCATGCTGTAAAGTTTGACTGGAGACTAAGGTTGATTAAAAATGCTCAATTAAACACAAGTAGAACTTACACTGGGCCAGGCATGCAGTAAGATGCCTCACTCTCATCCCTAGTTTTAGCCCTTGTTTTTCCGAATGTGTGAATAGGGTTTACATCTCAAATAAGTGAATGTGGTTTACATCTCAAATAACTCTCAAGGATACTTTAGGTGCACAGAGAGATAATCCCAGTTTGGGTCACATTACTATTTCCATCAATAAGCCATACATAAAGATAAGTAAAGAAAGTTGTTGTGTCTGGATTTAACTGACCTTTTACATGCAGTGTTTCTACTTCCAAAGAGAGTAGGGAACTACAGAAGAAGACTAGTGTGTCTTTAGGGAGAATGAGCAATCTTCCTCTAGCCTTTTCCCTCCTAGAAAAATTAGGTGTCCATTTCTGGCTCTGTGAATTATTTGTGGGCATATTAGAACAGTGAAATATTCTGCTTGGCTGAATGTCATCATTATTATTACATACAGAGGCTAATGTCTGACTGCTTTCCAAAACAGCAAATCTTGGCCTTGTGGAAGAAGCCACATGGCTATTGGAAACTTGCTCTTTTACAAAGAATTTTGAACCATCTGATGATGGACATCTACCGAGATATCCTGGATGCTGCCTTCTGCTTTCACTTGACAGCACATGGAATTTGAAGAATAGTTGCTGAAGTAGTATTCTCATTTCAATACAAAATGAGAGTTTTTTTTAAAAAAGAACTCAATCTGAATTTGGACCAATATGCAAGATTTACAAACTATGGATACATGATATAGCCAAAAGCAAACTAGCTCATTCAACCCAAGTTTCAATCTACTGTTACAGCTATAACAACAGATATTATTTGACATAAGCTTTCATGGACTAGTCGGTTGTACTCTATTGATGCTGATGTCAAATAAAATGTCTTTAAGGTGGCACAAGATTTTTTTGTTACAACAGATGGAAATCATTTCCAAAGAGGATTCTTCCAACACATCCCTCTGTATTTATAAACAAGCTGCCTACTACATGCAACGATTCCAAAGTTAGATACATGTTGTCACTGTTGTTGTTGTTGTTTTAATATGCTTACAGAGTTTATTTCAGGATCACTACAAGCAGCTTCAATGGCGTGGCCAAGAAGCAGAGTGAAAATACCATCAGTTAAGCTGCAAAATATTCTGACTGGTTCTCCCCCTATATTGTACATATACATTTCACATGCATGCATGCACAGTGCTCCTACCCACCTACAACCACATGAGTTCAACACTGAAGGTGTTGAAATGGTCTGCTTGTCCCCAAACACAACATCTCTAATTCAGCCTCTGGAAATTTGCACATCTCATACGTGCTCTGTTACTATGGTAATAAAAGCACATTTACTGATTTATCTTGTATTTCCTCTGAGGCATTCAAAGCAACATATATGAACTTTTCTCCCATTTTTATGGTCCAAGGAGAGCTTCCAGGCTAGGTGAAGATTTGATTTCCTGTCTCTCCTATTCTAGTCAAGTATCTCAAGCAATAAATAAATAAAGGCTCAGGGACTCAACATAACTCACTCTGAAAATTTTGTGGCAGGCAGGCACTTGGTCTATGAGCTGCCTATAGTTTCAGTTACTACTCAGTACAAGTTATACAGCCTGACACGTTGTCTAAAACTGGTAGTAATCCCGGGAACAGATTATTCTGCATTGATAGCAGGAAGGACAAATAAAATGTTGTGTTGACATATACAGTATACCACCGCATAGAGCTAGAACACACTCTGAGCAGTTTACAACACAATTATGCAAACAACAACTTGATGTTTTCTCTTCCACTGGTATGTTGTATATAAACTGCCATTTTCATTTCATTGGGTTTGTCTAGATTTTTCAAAAGAAGGAGGAAAAAAAGTTTTCAAAATTAATCCCATATTTTAGTTTAAGATTAAAGACAGCTCTTGTATCAGAAGATCACTGGATATTAAAGTGAACTCCAACACTACCGTTTTCCATTTGCTTTCCCACAAGAAGTGATCAGAGCATACTATGAAACGTTGCCATAATCTGTTCTCTCAATGATATTAAAATATCCAACAAAATATCAAGCATGTTTGTTTGTAAACTCACCCGGTCATAAACAGAGTTAGGACAGGAAGTTCTAGTACACAACCTGCATATTTCACATGTCTAAGATTAGCCCCTTGTCTTAATTTAGCTATGCTAGACTTAACTCCCTCCAATTCACAGAGATGGACATAGAAAGCCAACATATTCACTCAGATGAACATTTCCAGTTCAGTGTTGAATTGGTCTCTGTTACATTTCAGGAAACTTCTGGCCACTGTTTGGCAGGCTAAGTATGATATATTTAGAGATATCAGATATTAAATCCTTGAATTAAGGCACTTGGCCAGAATCCTCCTGGAAACAAAAGGGCAATCACACAAGCAGTTGTCCACCCCTCTGACAAGGTATATGTCATATGACTGATCATGTACTAGTCATTAAATCTGGTTGGGTCTGATTTCATAACTAATGCATGAGAGAATATCTGTGCGATTACCTTCCCCAGTGTGGTTTGTCCAGCAGGACTTTGGCCTTAATGTTTTACTTGCCTTATAGCCTTCAAATATTCACCACAACGACCCTCAACTGCATTGAAATTTTAGTCATAACAGATAGAGCTTGGCAATGATCTGCTATAATGAAAATGTTAATATTAATTTCATGACATTTTTGGACAGAAAAAGTTCTCATAATAAAATATTCAGAAAATGTTTGAAAAGGGGTGTTAATGGGAGCTTTTCTGACATCCTGTCTGCAAACGGTACCATCCACATCACCACTCTCAGAAAGGTAAGGGGCCTATACTTCCCTCTGAAATGTAGTTTTATACTAAATAGCCCAACATTGGCCTCACATTTGTACCACAACATGAAGAACAGAAGGTTTTGTAAGAATGATAGCCTACCACCATCAGCAGACCCAGAACTAGAATTAGTTGTTTTTTTAACAAATAACCAATTTATCTTATTTCTGCTATAAATCTTTAGCTTAACATTATAGGAGTATTTGATTTAAATTACAGGCCTGGGTAGAAGCTACTTGAGAAGCTGACTACCTCTTCCAAAATGGCTACTGAGATCATAGAGATCACCATTGATCAACAGTTCCTACTGTACCTTGACCAATTCGGCGTAACCCTCCAACAACTGGAAAAAAAATATAGTGGTTTCAGAGTCCCATGGTTAACATTTAAAAAATAATGTTCTCTGGAAGAAAACCAACACTCAGCAGCCTTTCTGTACAATGAAACTGGGATGATTTGAATGGTCCATCTCCAAAGGTCTCTGTACACTGCAAAACAAGGTCAAACCTACTGCTGAAGGCTTACTCGGACTGAGAACAAATTAGCAAGTAACACAAGGCACATAGCCATTAGGTTTATTGTCTCCTTGTATGACTCACACGAATGGTTACTTGTTTGATGTGATGACATGCAATACTTTTGTGATAATCTTGCATAGTAACAATACACGATTGCAGTGTCACACATTTTGGATATCAACCATTCATTACAATTTGTCCTAAGGATAGCTTAGGTTTTAAGCCTGTTTCAAGATATAGAATTCCTACTGCAATCTCCAACTACTCTCAATTTCTGAAGGAGTTTCTCTAGATAAAGGCATTGCACACAGAAAGAAGTCCAGGATATAGCTGGATACACATTTCTTAAACTGTCCCCAATTCATTACTGTGTTGGTGAGTGCCACAAGCTCAAAGGACTGATTAGACAAACTGTTGACTCATCACTGGTGGAAAGGTCTCCAATATTCAATGAATTGTAATGATTTTCAGTATCATGTACATTTGATATAGTAAGACTACAGTATGCAATTATTTTCCAAAAGACAGTGAGACTCAACATTAAGTTTCAAAAAATGCCTCCAAACCATATGGACTATGAAGACATGTTTCTTATCTTTAATTTCTTTCATATATCTTTATATAGTTCTAAAATCTATGGTGCCTAGCACTGAAAATTGCTTTAAAAAAAAAACAACCCCAGGCCAGTTTCTACTGAATAGCAGAAAAACAGAACAGCAGACAGACCTACGATAAAGCCACCAATTCTTTCAGACTTTAAACAGATATCTAATTTTTCCCAACAAATTAAAATGAAAATAGAACTGACTACCTTGCGTCGTAGTTTACCTTTGCTGTTGAATGTCTTTTCTTCACCAAAATAAAGAAGAAACTCGTTTAAAGAACACAAAAGGGGATGTGGGGATGGGGGTGTTTTTTTTTAAATCAAGGAAACTTTTTTGCTGGAAGATTTAGTTATATTTCTGTATTAAAGAGAGTTTCTTATATTTCATATGCAAGAAATCTAGCATTGCTTCAGGTTTCTAAAATCATAAAAAGAGCAGGAAATGGTTGTTTTATGTTCTCACGATTTTTCCTGCTTATGCAGCATTCGACACTCTCTCCAGGCAAAAAAAAAATCTCTTCCAGCCAACCCCAGAAACACAGAACAGGAAAAATCCTTTTTAAAACTTCTTTCCTGAGCTTCTAGCTGATATTCAGCATTCTCCAGCGTTAGTGAGCAAATTCTAAAATAGATGTTACTCATCTGCAGCAAGAGACCTTCAAAGTGCCAACAAAAGACAGTGAGACTCAACATTAAGTTTCAAAAAATGCCTCCAAACCATATGGACTATGAAGACATGTTTCTTATCTTTAATTTCTTTCATATATCTTTATATAGTTCTAAAATCTATGGTGCCTAGCACTGAAAATTGCTTTAAAAAAAAAACAACCCCAGGCCAGTTTCTACTGAATAGCAGAAAAACAGAACAGCAGACAGACCTACCATAAAGCCACCAATTCTCTCAGACTTTAAACAGATATCTAATTTTTCCCAACAAATTAAAATGAAAATAGAACTGACTACCTTGCGTCGTAGTTTACCTTTGCTGTTGAATGTCTTTTCTTCACCAAAATAAAGAAGAAACTCGTTTAAAGAACACAAAAGGGGATGTGGGGATGGGGGTGTTTTTTTTAAAATCAAGGAAACTTTTTTGCTGGAAGATTTAGTTATATTTCTGTATTAAAGAGAGTTTCTTATATTTCATATGCAAGAAATCTAGCATTGCTTCAGGTTTCTAAAATCATAAAAAGAGCAGGAAATGGTTGTTTTATGTTCTCACGATTTTTCCTGCTTATGCAGCATTCGACACTCTCTCCAGGCAAAAAAAAAAATCTCTTCCAGCCAACCCCAGAAACACAGAACAGGAAAAATCCTTTTTAAAACTTCTTTCCTGAGCTTCTAGCTGATATTCAGCATTCTCCAGCGTTAGTGAGCAAATTCTAAAATAGATGTTACTCATCTGCAGCAAGAGACCTTCAAAGTGCCAACTTCTGACCTCACAGGAGGCCTCCACCCCTCCTCCCAAAAACAAACTTGGAGGAGGAGCGCATTTCTCTCTCTTCTTTCACACTCACATCAGCACAGCAGAATGCTGTTAAAAAAAAACCTCAGCTGAAGCGTCTTCTTAACACTTTCAGAGAATACATCTGAATGAAAATCAGTGCAAGGAACTACAGGAAGTTTTTACAGCCTTTAGAAAAGCAATGGTAAAAGAACATTAAGAGCCCACTTTGAAAATTTAAGGAATGAAGTCACTGGAGTTCAAACAATTTTGGAATGCTGTCACAGGACAATAACTGGTAATCTTTTTCTGTAGAGGCAAATTGAGCTTTTCGTATAAATAAGGGCCAGGAAATACACTGAACTGAACTCCCTTAAAGAAACAAAAGAGAACGGCAGGAAATGGAATGTGTTGTTAGAGGAACACAAAAGACATGGTCAGACCAGTTGCTGGTAGAATTTCACAAATGTTAGTAATCTGAATCTCAGAGAGACTGAAAATATCCAACAGCTGGCTGTTTTAAGTTGCATTAATTAAAACAATAAACAGTGTTCTTGTTGTTTAAAAGTCAGTTGTATGTGCAGAGATGATTGATAATAAGGTCTATTTTCAGCATTTGAGAAGCTTAGGTACATCTGAAACATTTTCAGATCCCATTGGTGCAAACGAATATCCCTCCAACTCATCTAAAAACAGACCCACAGACTATTTCTTGAGTTCTTGCCCTATTTCCACTCTCATATCAATATACAAGCCTTCCTTCCTACCAAATCAGACTTGGAAGTGGGGGAGGAAATAAGAAAAACACCCAGTGCAATCAACACAGAACTGGACTGTGTACAGAGCATGCATCATTTCTTTCAGATTGTTCAAAATGCTCAGATGGCAGAAGCTTAGTGGGAAAGCTAAATCCTTTACACGACCATCCCCAGCTGACCTGATTCATGATCTGATGTAATCACAGAAGAAAAGAGAATGAGGCTTGCAAACACCACATTCCCTAAGCAACTCACACAATTCACTGAAATGACAGCAGCTGCCCCAGGTGGTGTGTTAGGATTGCCAAGGGCAATATTGTCATAATATTATTTCTCTCATCTGACCCAAACCAATTACATAAAATGTTGAAACTGCTCAGCTGTCCTCAGTTTCTTGAATAATTTGCACACAGATGTGTAAAAGTAACCAAAGCAAGGCAGAAAAGTGCATCAGCTTATTCCACTTTCAAAACAGACAGGAAATATGCTTGTTCCCATCTTGCTAATTGTTAATACAAGTGAAACATCAGGGACAGGCAAAATAAACACAGGTGGCACAGTCAGAAACTGGAGCTCATAGCCCATCAAGTTAGTTGCTATTTTAACCTTCCTCATTTTGCTGCAGAGCTCAGACTGTAATCCAATGACAACCTAAATTTCTGCAGTGAAACATGAAGACAAACTTTTACCATATCCTGAAAAAAACGCAAACACCAATATTGTTTGGGATGCAGCCTAGATTTTGAAAATCCTAACAGCTCTTTTGAATTTTTAAACCTATAATCAAAGATGAAAAGAAGTGCCCTAGAATTTGTAATGTATTTATATCTTCACCTATTTTTCCTAAAAGGTTGATTAATTGAAACCTACAGCATTTAATGACCCTAAACAGCAATAGTATAATGGCCAGTGGCCAGTACCTTGTTCTGTAGTTCTACGGGTCCAACAGGAATGACATCAATGGCAGCAGCAAATTGGCACTGATTAAAGAGTTGCTGACTTGATTCTGAGTTGCATGTGACTCACGTTCAATGAGACAAAGTCATGCACAAACTGAAATCAAAACAGGGACTTTTAAATTAGGAGCAATTTGCTGGTGGTGGTGAAATCATTGTAGTGGTAAGCTACAAAACAGGATACTAACCAACATGCTTAAAGTTCTGTGTCGGTGATGCAGCCCTGCAACCTGCAACTCACAACATTGCTTCTGGAGCCTGCAAGGCTTGAGCCAGGTTTCCTAACTTCTGAGTTTGTTGGTTGATGGAACATGCACAGTTGTGTATGTACATACAATGAGACATGGGTATGTATGTGTAGGCATGTGTGTGAATTCATGTGTGGCCTCCAGCCCCTGATGCATGCAGCCATTTGAGCTAAAAAAGGTTATGAGCTTAATATGTTAGGCAATGTTATGGATAACCTGGTGCTGGCCATTATCTATAAAGCACTTAATAGTTTAGGACCTCAATATTTATCAGAGGTAGAACGTCTTTCCCACAAAACAGCTACCCATCCCATCCACTTCTTGCAGTCCATGATGTTAAAAATGGTTACTACTAAGGAGGTCAAAAGAGGAAACACTAGGAACAGTGTTTATTCAGTGGTGGCCCCTTCCCTTCGGAACAAGCTTCTGAAAGAGGTTCATCAGGTGACTTACCTCTCAATTTTTAAAAAAGTAGTAAAAGCAGTATTATTTAAAGCAGGCTTTTATTAGTGCTTTTATTATCCAATATGTTCAAATCTGTTTTAATCTGTTTAATTCTATTTAAAGATAGAAACCTATTGCTAGCTAAAACCAATTTATTTTATAGTATTTATTCTATGGTATTTTGTTTCCTTTATTTTAAATGATTGCAACATGCTGTGGACTGCCCAGTGAATGTTTGTACATATTATGGGGCAGTGTACAGGATGGATGGATGGATGGATGGATGGATGGATGGATGGATGGATGGATGGATGGATCGATGGATGGATGGATGGATGGATCGATGGATGGATCGATGGATTGATGGAAAATAACATCAAATTAGATTTTGACAGCAAAGAAGTTGCATATATGCTTCTCAAGTCACACGTGCACTATACAGATCAATTTGATACCCATACTGTATTAACTGTCATGGACCAATCATAAGGTGTCCTGCTATTTGTATGCAGTTTGGTGAGATCGTTCAGATTCCATTATATAGCTCTAGTGCACTCATCTGAACTGGAGAATTTCCCCTCAGTGAAATATCCATATATAAGCAAACTATTAATGTTCATACTTTAAAATACCATGTTTAAGTCAGACTGTAGTCTTCTTTACTAAGCACTGAACACGGCTCCCACCTGGATGTTCATATGCAGCTGTTTGGTATTATTCATGATAGTGGGACATAACCTTACACATCTTGATCCTAAACAAGGAACAGGGAAATAAAGGAAAACCACACAGGAAACACAGCTACATTCTTTTCTAGACTATTTGCCCATCTCTGACAGAAGTGAAATAACATAAGACACAGGGCTATACATTTTCCTTGATATTGATAAATCTGCCAGGTTTTTTTTTCCCCATCATCCAGAGATTTAGATGCCTGGAAACTGTCAAACTTCAGGAATTGGGGTGAAACAGAGGTTCATTATGTTTGTTCCCCTTGAGATTTTAAGTTTAAAACAGCTAGAAGAAAGAATATTGATTGTTTAGTTATATGAGCCATTTGCAGTTTTAGATTAAGCACAATGCAGATTTCCCACCAGTAACAATAAGTACCTCAATGAAGGGATGTGAGGAGACTGCTGGAGGAAGAATGACAGTCACAGCAATTATAATGAAGAGGGCCAAGGAGGGAAGAACCTTCCTTCCTCTTCTTCACATTACTGCCTTTCCTCTCAATTTTCCCACTGATGCTCCTGAGTTGTGATTGTGGAGGTAAATCAAATAACCTGTCCTTTATATCCTCACCCCAGTATCTTTCCAGAGGGCAACTGTCAGGAAAAGAGTGCCAAAAACAAAACAAAACAAAAAAAGCCCTCTGCTTCTCCTGATTGCTCTTAAGTCCCATCAAGTCACTTCCAAGTACCAGGGTTTTCAGGGAATATTCCCCAAATGGTTTACCCGTGTCACTCTCAGTGGTTTTCCATGACCAACTAGGAATTTGAAACCAGTTCTTCTAAACCTTAGCTGCACATTTTATGCCTTACACTATACTGGCTTTTTGTCTAAGTTAGTCATCAGTTAATAGAAAAAAAAAACATAAGAAGCTGCCATATACTGTATTAGGTCAGATCCTAGTCCATTAAGCCCAGTAATGTCTGCACCAGGGGTGAAGAATTGGTTTCAGTTACTGGGCTGGTTTCCTGCCCTCCTCTGACCCTGTACAGCTACCTCCACCACAGTCTCTGAATCTTCCTTGCATGGGAGAAAGAGAGAGCAAGCAAAATCATCAGCATACCCCAAGCACCAGCTGTCGGAGTATCTCTGCAGTGAATATTTAAATCTGGGGCAATTCACCCACCCTACTTTTTCCTCATCAGGGAAAATTAGGGATGTATGAAGCTGTCTTTGAAACCCAAGTGCCACCGGCAGGGACCCTGCTACAGCTGTCTTTTGTATCCCAGAAGCTTGCCTGACCCTGTTCTTTGCCCTGTCAGTCACAACAGGAGACAGATAATGCCAACTACTGTCCTCTCCAGTCTTTGACTCATAACAAAGGGATTCCCTCCTTCCCTGCTCTTTTTCCGAATGAGGTGGTGAGTGAAGGGGGGCCTCGACGAAGGTAGCGGTTTTGGGCAAGGTAAAGAACTCGGGGAAAGGCATCCCCCAGACCCTTTCTCTGCAAGCTGGATTGGGGCAGCAATGCAAGATGAATTAGACCTCTGAACAAGATGTTTCATTTCAACTGGGCTACCTTGACCAATATCCATCCTCCAGAGTTTCTTCTCCAGTCTCACCTAGAGCTGCCAAGGTCAGACTAACCTTTTGCATGCAAAGCATGTCCCACACCACTGAGCAATGGCATTTCTTTGCTGGATCAGACCAAAGATGCAATCAGTTAGGACCATGCTGCTCACAGTGGCCAACTAGATACTTCTTGAAAACTCAGAGACCTGAGGGCCCTTCTTCTCTACTCTTCTTGACTTTTGCCTCCAGCAGCTGATGACGTTCTAGGCCATACAGCCTCTGAATGTGGAGATTTCATACAGACAGGGCTAGTATCCCTACCACCCAGCGTTCTTGAGCACATCCTTGATTACCAGGATCTCCAA